CTTGACAAACTTTTCGTTGATAAAGAGCGTAGATGCTCCACAATCTACAAGAGCTTTCAAATCTGCAGATTTGTTCTTTCCTTTCAGCGTAATGGGGAGATAGAAGTGTTCTGATTTTGTTTTTAGATTTACTTCTTCTACATCCGCAAAGTTTGCAAGGATCGAGTATCTACTGCCCGATTTATCTGTCTCTTGTTCCTCCAAGATTCTATTTCTTCTAGAGGCTTCCCATTTTTTAAACCATTTAGGCGGTTCTGATGCCTTTTTAGCAAGTGCGTCTGCCTTGGCTTTTATCTTAGCCAGCATCTCTTTGCCTTCTGGTGATATGGTCCAGTCCTTGAACCATTTGGGAATTATTGATTCCTTCTTCTTTGCTTCTCTATGAGCTAGGAAATCTTGGAACCAACTAGGAGGTGTAGAATTATCTGAGGGAGGAGGGGAATTCGGAGTTCTGCAGTTTCGTGCAATGTGATTTGGCTTTCCACATTTGTAACAATTGAACGGCTGTTTAGGCCCATTCATAGCCTCATCAAGTGCGTGAAACTCATGCAAGGAATAGGTTTTCTTAGTCATTGTACCAGTTGTATTCTGGAACCCGCTTTACTAATGACGTAAGAAGTTTGAAGGGCGAGTCGTAACGGCCCTTCTGGAAAAGGAATAATGAAGTGGTGGACAAGTCGTAACGGTCCACCCGAAAAGGAATGATGATTAAAGGGAGAGGGAAAAGGGAATACGTAAATGGAAATCTGAAGCGGTCCCCGATACTAATCGGATCTACCACGTACTTCAGGGTCAAAGGGTTCTTTATTCAACCCTTCTGACACTTCCCTATCTACTAACTAAAAGAAGTGTACGTAAACTACTCCTTTGTTAAGTGAGAAAAACGCGGTGTGCTTCGTGTGTGTTACTTCTCAATCACCGACAAGGGTACAGGTCTAGGACAAGTTATCACTCTTCCAGCCGAAGCTTACAAGTGCGAGTCTCACTAGAATCCCGTATCTAAATCCTCTTGGTAATGATGGTAAGACTATCCGCAGATGCGACAGTTCTACTAAACTTAACGGAAAGGTACTACGTGCGTATGAAGAAAGATGTAGGTATGAAAGCAATTATAGTAACGTTGAGCAGGCAGGGTCTTGGGCCAGCACTCAAAGTTGTAGCGAGACGCCTAATGTCGTCAACACCTCCGTATACTGGCGGCTGCAATGTAAGGCAGGGCCTGGTATAGGACTACTAACTATAAAAGACTATTCGTAAAAAGCTCAAGCGAGCAAAGGAAAGGGGTTTCAAAGAAAAGGGTCGCGGTTGTTTAGACCGGGCAAGATAAAACGTGTAATGATGTTAGACGTATGTCTCGCGCAGATATGCAGCTGAGAGACATGTGTAACGACGAGTAAAGGTGATTGTTTGAATCGTTGGTTAACCTAATGGTCTACCAAGTATTCAAAGGATATAGTAGTGGATGCGAGCGGTATGCAAAGAGTCGGAGTCTCCTATAGTTCAAACCTAATGTCACAACCCAATAACGAATTAACGCTGGGCAGAGACTAGGACTCAAACAAGGTTATCGGACAAAGATGATAATGAGCAGGTACGTCTTGGATTGCTACAATGTAGATACAAGAGGTTTGAACTAAGGAACTATCTACCAAGACATGCTAACTATATACAACTATTGAGACGGAGATTGAAACTGAGTTCTAACTACTAGCCAATCATAAAATAGAAAAGGGAATCGTACCATAGAACATCGTAGAATATTAAAGAAGTATCACGTGACCATATCTTATCTTATCGTATCTTATCTAATCTAATCACAGTCAAAGAACTCGTCTTCTTCATCAGTCACATCGAAGACACGTGTCGTGGGCGCTAATGGAATCTCTGAACTGGTAGACGCTTTCGGGGTAGGGTTAGGGTTAATCTTAGGCGCTGTGTATTGGCGTTTAGGAAGATTCAGGAAAGAATAATGGTTCGTTAAAGGTACTCGTGACACATTGCCATTCGCATCAGATTGGACCCCTTCACCAGTTGTTCGGAGACGTCGAGCATGCACCTTGTATTTTTTTGTTAAGCTGAGCAGAATTGTAAGCTGAAAAATAGTGAGAAAAGCACAGCACTCACTACTCATACTTTCGTTTGACTCAGTCCCCCATTGCGACAGCATTCTGGCTGTGCAATTGCGGGAAAATGGCAGCCGCCATGCGCTGATACACCGTCACTTTGCTATCACCTGACGTGTTCTGACACAGAAACATCATATCTCGTATCATATATGACAACTTTGACTCACTTACCTCGCCCTTCTTCCGTTTGCCTAGAAGCACGACTCTGTTCTCCGATAGTTCAATCTGTGCCAATAGCTGCCAGACCAAGTCATCAGTCCAGACAATCTCCGGGATTGTGATGCCGTTGTCCTTCTTCTTCGCCATATGTGCAGATCTGATTGATGGTGAGTGAAGGTAACAAACCAATAAATTTTCAGAATTACTTTGTATTATCTAATTATGCAAACTACATTTTAGGTGACGACGCGTGGGCGAAGGGGTCATGGGCGTGGGCGGTGGGCGTGGGCGCCCAACTTTGAACGTCCCTAATACTGACTTGCGCTAAACTTGCGCATCAACTACTGCTAGTTACACAGCTGGTTAGTAGGAACCTTGCAGTTCTTCAAGTGCTCTAAACGAGCCATAAAGTAGAGCGTGCGTCGGTTCCTTATAGTTACATCTACGCTCACAGTATCATACACAATCTTCTACTAGTATGAATTCGAGTGTGTTCCTTGTCATTAAACAATTGTTCATATATTACATTGTAGCTTTCTTCCCATGCGATTTTTTCTCCAAACGAGTGACTGCGCAGTCGCGAGCATCGTCTCAAGACGCGGTCACTGGTGCCACATTTATTGGCTTTTTCGGTATTTCATGGGATTATGTTACCTGTCGCTTCTGCCAGGGTCCCTGACGAGTAGCAGTTATCGGTGCATAATTCCGAAAATGAAGATGACATTGATATTAATGCGGGACGAGACAAATCGCTCAACCATTGATTGGGATGGATATTAAAATATTGACTACCGGCAAGCTGACTGACATACATATGCATCCGTCGCAGATGCAATATCTAGTCGATATCACAACCAGCTCAAGTTTGGAACATCATAACAAGTACCGCAGTAGTATTCTCAGTGGCATTCCATGTAGCTACTGAAACTCCAGTTCCTGGTATCAAGGACCCGATGAGTGCTTAGACAGATCTAGCAGCAATCACTTCATAGTATATATGGCGCACCCTGACCCTAGGGTTCATCACTTTTCCTGGATTTCCAGGCAATCCTTCTCTTGCGCTCGTGCGCTCGCCTTCTTCTTTGACTTCTTCCGTCGTCGGCGTTCTCTTTCCTGTTGCTTCGCGCGTTGCAGTTCACCCTTTGATAGGCCAGGGTTATGTAGTTTGTCCAGCTAAATGAATTCAATCAGAGGTGCCGGTGTTCGATAGGGATAATTTGAGCTCGTTAGCCTATCTATCTAGGCATGACAAGATGTTCAGAGACACGCCTTTTGCAGGAGCCACCGCCTAGCGAGCATGCGATTTGTTTGGAGTGATCGAGTTTCCTGACATGCTACACGAAGACCAGTAGGTTTATGAAGAAGTTGAACATTATTCTGGGTCTTATTGATAGACTGTCCGCCAGGACCACTGCCTTGGTCGTAGATCAGTAAATATCCTAATTAACTAAAAACAGTCCGTGTTCTTTCACCCACCTCTAACAAATGATTCCTCAATATCCTCTTCACGCAACTCCGGAATCTCTCGATCTTTGTGAGCTCTCTTGAGAGCGGAAAAATTGCGCGGCAAATTGGGGCTATGCTGAGCAACAGGTTCTATACTATAGGTTAGCTTAGTGATCCACTGCACACTTTTTGACGATAAAATAAACCTTTGCTCGTCCTTCTCTAATCTTCGTGCTCGTCGGTTGGAAAGCATACTAGTACTAGGCGGCGGATTCTTAATACTCTCATTTTCGCCAAGTTCAGTGTCCTTCGTGAACCGGAGGTCTAAAACACGATTTAGAAACTTCAGACGAGTCCAATTGCAGATGACGTACTCCAAGCATCATCACCATCTTGAGTTTGTGTTCTGCGAGCTTGTACGACATTTCTGCGTAACATGGTCGCAAGGTCACGGGCGAGTTGGATTTTCTCTTCGACCAGCTTCACGTCATGTTGCGCGGAGCTGTCCAAATACAATGCTTCTGTTCGCATGTTGTATCGGAATGCTGAATCGAATTCTTAAGCTTGCGTTTTATTGTTACTGTGTGTACAAACCTCTTTGTATCGGTTCATCTCCTACAAAACAAGGTGAGATGGTGCATAGAAGGAGATTCAAGGTGACTGACCATGGAAAGTAGAAGCTGAAGCTCGTAGCAGGTCACGGTATGCCGAGCGCGCACTTGCTCTGAGGGCTGGCGTAACAGACATTTGTGTTGTTAGCGTAAGCCTTACTCGATACTTTTAAGGAAACCTACCGGCAAGCTCCGACGTCGATCAACGCACATTCCAAAAGGGGACCGAGCAGCAATTAGGGCGTAAGACGCGCTCCTTTTTTGGACGCGTCGCGTTCTAGCTCATACGAGGAAACATGTCTTCTTCCTGCTTGCCCCATAAATCGTCCAACCGACCAATAAATAAAAAATCGAGATCCTGTAGGAAGCAACAGCTGAATGCGCGTGCTCCAGCGCGTACGAAGTGAATATATGTGCAGTCCCTTGAGTATAACTGCCATTTTCAAAGATCAATATGTACTGCACGCTTGTGCGCTACATTTTCTGCTTTTTGCAAAGACTCATCCCCTATCGTACCCAAATTCACTCACCAGACAAAATAGCGACATAGCGGGACCCTCTATGCAGAGTAAATAGGGTCGATAAACCTATCTCAAATATAGACTCACGTGACTCGCGCGAATTGAGTTTGTTGACTGCTCAACGCGCCCTCGGAGTTTCAACACATCCCTCTCTCAAACCACTACCATCTCCAATCCGTTTGTTTCCGCCAGTTACTCTGGTCGCTTCTGAGTATTGCAATTAGCCCAGACAGCAAGAACAACACTTACTGCACTTTCTGCAATCGCTTGCAATATGTCTGCAAAGAAATCTACAATGAAACCGGCCGCTAAGAAGAGCAGGGCCTCTCCCACCCACCCATCTTGGGTAGATATGATCAAGGTCGGTTGTTCAATATTCTAGCGTCCTCAATCCCTTCCTATATATCCTCTTCGTCCGATGTCGAGCGTCACACAGAAAGGGCGAGGCTTCCGCACCCAGGGGGTACTATAAAAGGCAGGTCCCAGGGGGAGGATACGCAACTGCGGGTGACATTCATTTTTCGTCTCCCAATGACTTCAGGGACCTCGGGTCATGCATTTTTACATCATGCAGGATGCTGGAAGGCATAAAACAACTTTTCTAACACGATACATTGCTAAATAGGAGTGCATTGCTACCAATCGCGATGACGCTCGCGCTGGCGTCTCCCGTCCCCAGATCAAGAAGTGAGTTTGGGTATCCCTACTAGACCGAGGGATGCTCATGATCTCGTAGATATGTTGAGGAAAAATACAACCTCGTCATGGACAACGCTCAACTGAGTCATTTGAGCAAGGCCATCGCCACTGGCGCTGACAAGGGGACTTTTGTCCTCCCCAAGGGTAAGAAAATTATTGCGTAGGTCTCTCACAGTCCCTTGCTGATAACTACTGCATAGGACCTTCTGGTCGGGTGAAATTACCTCCCAAGACCTCAAGGGCGACTGACACCTCAGCATCGAAGGAGGTCCGTGCGCCTACTGACTTGAACACGTGATGTGGTGATTGACGTAGTGAGAGTAGAATAAGCCCGCGAAGGTTGCACCCAAGGTGGCTACTAAGGCAGCCACCAAGGCACGTCCCGCCAAGATTGCCACTACGAAGGCTACCCCCGCAAAGTCGAGTATGGCCAGGAAGCCAGTTGTGAAAGCGAAGGCTGCGCCAACTGTCAAGGCTGCCGCCGCTAAGAAACCTGCCGCTCAAACTGCCGCCAAGTCTTCAGCAACGAAATCAGCAATTTCCACTAAAGCAAAAACAATTCCTGCAAAAAAGACGATCGCAGGCAAGAAACCTACCCCTGTCAAGAAGACTACCTCAGCATCAAAGCGTGGTACTGCGAAGAAGGTCGGATCACTGGTATTTTGCGCATTTCGTGAGCCGCTCACTTTTAATGTTTCTAGGCTGTGACTGGAACAAGCGCGCCCGCTAAAGCAAAGGCTACAGCCACCAAGAAGACCAATGCAAAGAAACCTGCAGTCAAAGCAACGGCCTCGGCAACGAGCAAGAGAAAGGTATGCACCTAACTCGAACGCACTGCGATTGTCGTAGCTTGACTTGTTCATCCAGGTCGCCAAGAAATAGATGACTCCCCATCCGCCATCGATGATACACTCATTCTCCTGATCTCACGGTACACTAAGGTGTAGAACCCATTCTGGTTACTCTACCTACTCCATGCACTTTTCCTCGCGCCTCTGATTGCACATTTCTTATTTCTCGTATTTGATTTGTATTGTAATTTATTGGGTCCTACTACTACCTGCCCGCCTCTCGAACATCAAAATCATGAATTTTCGTGTGGGCCTGTTGTCGTGATTATTACTTGATTCAAACCTATTGCAATGTTCCACAGTAAGCTAAGATTCGAAAAAAGCAGGGCCGTAGCACAGAGAGCATTCGCATTCGATCTGGTGAAGTGCATGCCAGTGAATGACCCATACCAGTAAAGACTCCGGTTGTTACCAAATTGGTTGTTTCACGTTTGCCACAAGCAGTCCCAGAGCGACTTCGAGGAGGAACATGTCCAGACAGCCAGGTAGCATACAATCGCCATATTCTTACTCGCACCAGCATCAGCTGTCTCGCTCGGCTTATCCTACATTTCTCTCTTTACAAGAAACGATCAAGCTGCAATTAACATGGGCATGCAGTGGTATTCTTGATGCCTTTCGGTGGGATATCGTTGTGAAGACTGCTACAAGGTACCTTTCATCCACTTGCTGTCTCTATATCTTGCCATCCTACACACAATTCCTTGGTAACCTACAGCGACCGTGAAATTCGCTCAAATATTCTCAAGTCCTTACTACTCAATTCGTTGTCCTTAACCTCTATCTACGGGTTCGACTTGCTTCTACAACCTCTCGTGCATAACCACCCAAGCTGGCTTCACCGCAATGTTGGATGGTTCTATCGTGTCCTTTGGCTGTTCCCAGTCGTTGGAGTATCATACTATCTTAATGTAAGTCCATAACCAGATCTTAAGCCCTACTTCAGCCAGAAATGAACCACAATCGTTTTACCAACTTCTTCCATCTAGAGTTCCTGGTGTAATCTTATCGCGAAACGGTCCTTTGTCCTTCAGCATGGGAACCGTGGATCACATCAGCAGCCAGTTACTTATCACGGTATGCTGACTATGCTCGCAACGTCTGCATACCGTGCTGTAATGATCCTTACTTCTGTCATCGTGTCGCTGGCATTGGGTTCAATACCATTTGTTGGATCGTGGATTAGTTTTGCATTTATGTGCTGGGTTAATGCGTCAGTGTATCAGCTGCTGGATGACAGGAGGCATTTCTGACTTTCCTTTAGATATTATTGCTTTGAGTGAGTTGCCATGGCCCAGAGATGGCTGCTCTCACTGAAATTCGGGTACCTCAGGTTTGTCTGGGTGGCGCGTAATTCGTCCTTGGCCCAAAGAGTGCGTCATCTAGAAGAGCGATGGGCATACTATTTCGCGTTTGGCTTTCCATCCGCTGTGATATGTACGTGTGGAAGTGGACTGGCGAACGCCGCATTTTTCGCACTTATGTTCCCTGCCGTATGTCTCTATGGATTCCTTCCTTCCTATAGTTCTGCTGTTGATCTTTATCCATGATTAGTTCATCATCATGGCCATGCACGCACGGCCCGTTCCACAGGATCCTTACAATCCTGCACCCTCCACGGAGCCTACGAACACTGTGCGATTTCCCTCGCCACTCATTCCGATTAGGATGCCGGTCTTTACCATTGTCATTTGGTTGAATGATCTCATCGTTAGAGTGCTAAGTGTCGGTGGCAGCGCTGGTGTTCGACACCACAGAACGACAAGCGACACTACCGAACAGGCAGAGGAAGGGACAGGTGTTGAATTAAGACACATCGGTCGTACAGCGAGAGGGCCTTCCCATGCTGTTCAAGCAAGGAGTGTTGGAGCAAGACTACCGAGTAATGGAAAGGCGCCTATTTCTGGGAGACGAAAGAAGGACTGACGGATTTTATGGCATCATAGTCATCCAATTTCAACTCATATGCCATTAGCTAACGTCGTACGCAACTTTCGTGATCCTATGTTTCAATAGAATCTATACCCCTTTGATAATAATGATAAAATCAGCGGACAATAGTCTGGGTGAAAGTAATGTGGTTCTGATGTTTTGAGATGAGAGGGTCACTTCTATATGCTATCCAAAATTTATCCAAATCCTGCCCATTCGACAGATAAATATGATACAACTTGTGTCTCATCATTCCATTCACATAGTAAATGCGCTTTCTTTGTCCCCGTGCCAAGACGGCCATGTGCAACAATTTCCATTGGGCGGAGAGCGGCATCCGGAGCCTCGATGACCGATGCGACAAAATGAGAATGATAACGGAGTGGGTCACCTGATAAGACAAATCGCGCAGGGTGAGCACATCTTTCAGATATACAGCTGATTAGCGAAAATAACGCCCTCGAGGACAGGCGTGGGTGGCGGAGGAAAGATATTTCAAATAGAAAGGAGAATACACACCAGGGTAGACAAGGTACTCGCCACCAAATTTAATTCCCCCTCCCATGTAGTATCCTTTTTCCCATAAGTCTCGAAATACGCCGCAGCGTGCGCGCTCTTGTAGGGTCGAGGGATATAGCCATATGCCAGCTTCACGTGCGATAGCCAAGGACATGTTGGAGTGTGGTGCGTACCACTCCAACTTGGATGAGGAGGCAGGAATGTTGACGGTGTAGGATCCAGATGGCATTACTATAGTGCTGTCTAAGGGTTCTCCAATGGCAGCCTGTGAGGGATTTTCAGATGTGGGATGAGGAGGCTGGCTATTTTCTGTAGAAACTCTGGGAGATGCATTGGCCATCGCACGTGTGCGACGCTCTTCCCGTTCTTTGCGCTTGCTCTTGGCACTTTCAGACATGGCGCGGTCAGGGTTAGAGGCTTCGATGAATCCTTTCTCTTCCGTTAGAGCTATTTGTTGCCTTGCGTCATGGAGGCGCGCGTCTTTCCATAGTTTCAGGGCTGATGGAGACGGAGTGCGATGGGCACTGGGATCGTCCACTAATACGGCGACTCCTAGACACATGATCGCTGCAGGTGAATAGGGTGTATAAATTTAAAGACGACTGACCATTTTCTACGAGGAGAACAGCCTCCTCCGGCATCAGCTGAAGAGGTAATCCCAAGAATATGTTCTGTGAGGACAGGTGTGGAAGAGTTCCAGTGAGGATGCCACATATATGATGATGTGATCGTAGGATGTTGATATCTGCTCGTGCAAGGTTAGAAGCATCAAAGTCAGATTATGATAATGTACCGTCAACATCCCACACGTAGGCTTTTAAATTCGAGACTCGAAGCAGTATAGGTTGTGTCATACAGCGCCTGCGATTCTGGCCAGTTTTCGAAAGTTCTGGGGGTAGGGTGATTTGGATTTATGTAACGACCAATTGAGTGTCAATTGCCTCCGACTCGCTTCACATGACTCCCAACGCGGAATGCCGCACCACAGATGTATTTAGTATAAGATCTATTTCTACAGCCTGATACCCAGAGCAACACAGGTAAAATATCTACTGCAGCCATTGCAAGACATTTATCGAATACTGATCGGTCGGCGACCCCGAAAGGCGAGGATAGATCTAGATAGATATGGCCGCCAATATACAAGATGTTGTCATGCTCGTTGGCGACTCCCTCACTCAACGTGGATGGGAGCCAGGAGGCTTTGCACAGTTACTTGCAGGTACGCGCTTATAACAGACATCTGGTACGAGCTAGATTCTGAGGCTGCGACGTATAGAACAGTACGTTCGGAAGCTCGATGTTATCAATCGTGGCCTTGGGGGTTATCAAACGGACTGGGCAATCCCAATTTGCGAGCAGGTGAAGTCAAATATCACTATTCTATAAATCTTGCTGAACGTATTCGCAGATCTTTGCCAAAAAGCATGAGCAACACCACGTTCCACAGGTCAAATTACTCACAATTTGGTACGGCGCCAACGACGCTGCACCTGCTCCTAGTCCACAGCACGTCCCGATAGACAGATACAAAACGAATTTGGGCCATATCATTCAAATGGTGAAATCCCCAACTTCAGCATACTATTCCCCTGAGACCCGTATAATCTTGATCACCCCACCGCCAGTAAATACGAAGCAATGGGACAGGCTTGATAGTCCACGTGTATTCGAGACTACGAGGTCGTATGCGGAGGCTGTCAAGGAAGTGGGTGAGAAAGAGAATGTGCCTGTCGCAGACGTCTGGACAAAGATATTCGATGCCGCTGGTCAAAGTGAAGAGGCATGCGAAAAATACCTGAACGACGGGCTACATCTAACCAGTGATGGTTACACGGTACGCGCAAACTTGAGTTTTGGCTTGTCAGGCTTGCTAACATCCAAGATTAAAGATCGTATTCCAGGCCGTTATGGACATTGTGGAGCGCGTATATCCCGAATTAGACCCTACTTGGGAAGCACATGCGAAGATGCAAACTGTGTTTGTACCGTGCGTCCTCTTTATATTTATATTTGCTGCAGGATGCAATTGATGCATTTAAATGCAGGTGGGACCAAGTGAACGTACAGAATCCAATACCATCTCTGATGAAACGGAAGGCACAACTTTAGTACAGAATATCGAATAAATACGTGAACGTATCGTTAACTTCTCTTAGATATATATATGACATATCAGATTCTATCCATGGATTTAGCGAAGGGACTGGGAGCTGTGGGTATGACCTGACAAAGACGCGGCTGACTTTCATATCGGTCATGTTGCGATAGTCCCGACATATCGTAGAGCGGATATATCCTGAACTGGATACTACTGAGTACTGAATGATCAGCATATGGTGTGAAGATGCAAAATGTTTTCGTACCGTGTGTCCAGCCCCCTCTTCCAAATTATTTCTACTACAGTCGAACGCTAGCGCTCAGCTGCAGCTAGGACCAAGTAAAATTTACAGAATTCAAGACCGTCTTTGAGAGAGCACACATCATCACATGTAGTCTTGAATATTAATGCGTCACTTTCAATCTGTACCGATCAAGAAAACAAAAGACAACGCACGTGACGAATATCAACATACGCCAAAGAGAGGGCAAACAATCCTTTTGCCGAGTCCTTCAAGTTCTGCATCAGCACACACCACTAGAGCGAAATAGTGTGTAGGACCGAATCAGCCACGGAGGCAGGACACCTCATACCCCCAGCACGCGTTATTCTTGTTTCTTGCCTAGTTATACCGCTTAATCGAGCGCGTCGCTGACCGTTTTAGGACAGGATCCAAATTTGTTGGACCTACAAGTGTTCGCATCAAAGCTTGCTTACGTTTTCTGTTCTGTTCAAGTTCGTTGCATTGTGAGCAATACTCTGGCTGAAGCCAAGTTGTTGGTATAGTTATTGAGCAACGATAACTCACTCTTATTCTGTACGCACTACCTAGGCGCGGCCTCCTCTGTTAACACTATCTTTACGTTCAAGGTGAGCCATAATTCATTTACGCGAAACTCAGTGGTTTAAGTTTACATGGCTGGGTGGATGTTGCTCATTTTTTTTTATCCATGCTTTCTTTGTTCAACTCTTTTCATACCCTAAGCCATATTAGATTGCTGACTTTGTCATTGACAGCCCACTACTTTCGGTAAATTCACCGGCCACGATCCGTTTCTTTGGGCCACATCTCCATTCAGTATGTGTTTCTTCTCATAATCAATGTTTGTGAACTGTGAATGTCGTCCATCGATTGTTTTCTCTCTTCTTGGACACTCCTCCGTCCTTGTAACATCTTGTGCTCGACCTCTCAAACTTCATACGATCACCATCTGACATTCCAACGCTCTTCATTGGTTCGATTGTTTGACTTGTCTCACCTTAACCTCTCACGAACCATGTCTGATTCCTTCTTGAAACGACTCACAGATTATCATTCCAACAAGCTTCCAACAAGAGCTCAATTCCAATCTTCCATTGCAGTCTCTCGCGACATGACCTTCTTCTCCACCCTTTCTTCGGCTGCCGCTGCGGCTTCAACGCAATACCTACATGCGCCACTTGCTCCCTCGCGCAAACGCGGGCAGGTAGTCAATGCTAAACATGATGATATTGACGATTTCTTGTCTTCTGACCTTGAGCTGTCGTTCGCCTCTACCATGTCTCTCAACTCTCCTCCACGTAACACAACGACGCTCGCGCAAGATCGCGATGTTCCAATGGATATTTCGCCTGCATACCGCCCCGTTCAGAAGGAGAATGACAAAACGAACAGGCCTACTACACGCCCCCGTGCATCTACTAGTGCCGCTCGCATTTTTGGTCAGGACATGAGCAACGGCAATTTCTCCAGCGAATCCATCAGCACCAAAAATGACTCCCAAGCAAACTCCAAACGAACACAGCGCAGCGCGCTTCCTATGGAGTGGATGGTCGCATCTAAACCTTTAAGAGCCTCTCAGACAATGGACGGAAACATGTTTGCTCCGGTAAGCGATCCTTTCAGTTTAGACCAGCAGGCTTGTTGCTTATATGACTGCACGGGCAGCAGCCAGATGTATCTATTCCTTCAGCGTCTGATGACGCCATGGATGTGGATTCTGCTCCTGAGGTTTCTGAGCAGGACCTGCTGCCTTCTCCACCTCTGTCTGCGGCACCCGCTGTAACCGAGTTTAGCAACCTGTTTTATGGGGTTATGACCCAATCCTACTTAAACACCCCTGGAGGGCTGCAGCCAAAAAAGCGTCGTTCTTTATCTCCGGAGACTATTTCGCGTGTTGATCACGAGGCTTCGTCATCGCCTGCTCCTTCGTCGCCTTCGCAGCACAAGTTAGATCGCATGGCAACCTTCGCCAAACCTGCACTCCAAGGCCTTGGAGTCCCCCCTAATGCAAGCAAACGAGCTCGACGTGTTGTCTTCTCAGCTTTGGTACAACCCGGTGTTCCTTCGCCACAATCAGCATACCCCGCGCTTGGCTCAGACGCTTCGCAAGAGGCGCAGTCAGCACTTGAATTGCCTCCTTCACGACGCGCCTTTTCTATGGTGCCATCCACTGTCCTGGAACACCTATCTGATGAGAATTCTTCTTTCGACGACCCTGACATGTCCTCTCCCGCTCAGGCATACGCCAAACGACAGCAGGTCAAGGCTATCCGTAGAAGAGACGGAACGGAGGATTTCAGACCTCTGACTGGCGCGACTGCTATGGTTCAGCGCGATATGTTTGAGAGTCCCTCTGCAAAATTCATGGCTGCAGGATTGCCAGGATTTGGAGATAATGAGACATTGGGCAAAATCTTGCCATGTCACCGCGTGCGCGAGGATGGCTTGATGAGGGTTGTACCGAAAACTGTGATTGCCTTTATCTGTGACCTTGGTGACAACGCCTGACATTCCATTTTGATTTAGTTGGATGATCTTCTTGACGGTGCCTATAATTCCCGCATCGCAAGTTTCCACGTTATCGACTGTCGCTTCGACTATGAATACAATGGTGGGCATATTCCTGGCGCCGTCAATATCAACACCACGGCTGGCGTGGAAGAATTCTTACTTGGCACGCAGAAGCCTAAACCATCTGTTAGTGGCGACTCTCAAAAAAAGACTATCCTGGTCTTCCACTGTGAATTTAGTGCAAAGAGAGCTCCAACATTGTAAGCTGAAACTGTCTCAAAATTTTACCCCTTAATTTACAATCCCCTTCAGTGCCAAACACCTTCGTGGCAAGGACCGCGCGATGAATAACCATGTGTATCCAAGGATTCACTATCCGGAGGTTTACATTTTGGAAGGCGGGTACTGCGAATATTATAAACAGTGTGCTTCTCGCTGTCGTCCTCGGGGCTATGTCAGGATGGATGACCCCAACTTTGCACTTTCCCGCAAAGAGGACTTGGACCAGTTCCGCAAGGGCAAATTTGGACGCACCAAGTCATACGCTTACGGCGACCTAGCTTCGAAGGTCACTGGTATGACCCAACAGCCATCCAAGAGGAATACAGCGCCTGCTGGTGCTCCTCAGCTATTTGCTGCCGCAAACGCTGCTCGTACACGGCGTAATGGTCTTTCGACTGTGACTGAGGCCGGTAATATCACCCAGACAGACGACGAGGAGACCGATATCGGCGACAGCCCCTGCCCCCCTCCTAATAAAGGTTCCATGCTGTTGTCAAAGGCGAAAAGACTGGGTCGCGTCGGTATGACTCGCTCTGAAACTTTTGACGCGACTCGTATGGCTTCTTAAATGCAACCCGACTCCTCGTCACTGCTCCATTTTTCTGCACGTTCAAAGCGCGTGTGCTTTTGCAGGTCCAGCAATCTCGCGACCAGCTTGATTTCTTTCTTAATTAGGATTAATCCTTCTTTCCTACCCCCACGCTCATCGAACGCCTGGAACCCAATTGCGCTTCTCTGTTTCGTTCATCTCTTCTCTCACAACCCACTCAGGCACAACCATTCGTTGCGTTATGTTACCGCACGCTGATCTCAATCCTCGTTGTGCTCTATGCTGCTCAGGTCTGAGGTATATTCCCGAACTCACAGCGAGGCCTTCCGCGATACGTCTCGCCAAGCATCTTTCCATCATACAAAGTCCCTCTACCAACCATCTGATGCATCGGACACTCCATTTGTTTGACTATCGCATAAGTCACGTCCTATCTTCCGGTCGTGGCTGCTCGACTCTTCTACAACTGTTTCTATGTGCCATAGACAAGTTTCGCTACATCTCTTATATATGTTCAATATCTCTTTCTTCTCACTTTGATTCATTATTTGCCTCGCATCTAAGACTACCGATAGCTATTTATGTCTTTTGTGATCTCATCTTTTTCCTTTCGCCTCCTTAGTATTTATCCGCTAGGATTCATCCCTTGGCATTATTTCAATCATCGAATGTTCAACATTATTCATTGCCTCCCAGCCTGCCAAATACAACGTGAGTTTCGATTCTGTTCCTGCTGAACATGATTATTGATGGACAGTTTTGTGATAGCATGTGGATAACCGCGATTTTCTATTCGCTTTTTGTTCAAATCTTTCATTCATATTCGTTGATAATATTTATCGTTATGGACATGTTATTGCATAGCTTCACACTAGTGTAAGAAGCTACGGCGGAAGTTATTAGGCCTGGTCTAGTATCACGAGTAAACATGCTTGACTAGTACTGGTTGCTAAAGTGCGGTCGAAGTTCTTTATCAGCACGCACCAGTGTCGGGATAGTAATTTTCTAGCAAAACCATGTCGTCCGAAGTACATCTGATCCGGAGAAGTTGATAAGCATTTGAACTGCAGCAGAGCCCGTCTGCAATATCCCTCAAACACTGAAACAGTAAAATGACATTCAACTTAACATTTGCGATGCATATTCATGTATAATGCGCTTGCACAAAACAGCCTTTCACCGCAAGTAGTTGAATCACTTCCACTTCGAAGTTTCGCAAAGGTCTTCCTGGGGATAAACTGTGCCATACCCTGCAACAGCGCACATCATAGGGAATGAGCTTCAGGTCCTTGAGCGTGAACAACTGGAGGACGAACTGGTCCTGGCGCATTGTCATTGAAAATCACAGGATACTCCATACTGTCAGAACACTGGGAATATAACAAGAAGCAGTATAGATTTGACTTGAAGACTTTTCGATTTTTTTGGGTCGTAGGTCTTTAGAAGTGTGCAGCTCCTTGGCTTGTTTGGCGAGGATCCTGACAAACACGCCTTGGTATCGCATGAACTCGTGGTGTTCACCGCTATGTTTGGACTAAGGAACCGTTTCATCAGCGAAGGTAAACACGAGTAGGAGTCTGATCACCTCTAAAATATTACTCAGAAGCTTGAACACCACCCGCCCGTACATTGTCGCCACGACCCTATCATCCAATCATCAGATACCACTCCACGTGCGATCGAAAGTCTGTCAGCTGTCGTCATAAGATATTGCACTTGTTGTGGATCGACTCGAGCGCTGCTTGCTAGCGGCACTTTCAAACTCGAACGCCTGTACGAGTTGCATGAGATAGAGGCACAGCCTACCAATATCATGCGTCAGTGCTGCGATCACGTAGGCAAAAGAAATTTTTGACTTCGTCATCTGCGCGGTTAAGTTGCCGCACTGTAAACGCTCTTACTCTCGAGTCCACGATCCCTAGTCCGACTCGGAGGGCATCATCTGTATCGACCTTTGTTGACAGAGCTCTTCCACCGCTCACTTAACTTCTGAAGGATCACGCCAAGTGACAGACTTGGGGGATCTGGCAAGTCCGCGCTTGTCCTGTACGAAGTGAAAATAAACTTTCAGATCCCTGTCGTACGGACTACTTCAATGACCCCGTACAAGCCGGCGATGCTTGTCTTCCACAAGAATTTCGCGTGAAATCTTAGGGTCAATGATGGCCCAGAGGTCGAATCGTGGAAGGTCGACATAAATATACATATTCTATAAATTCTGTCTCCGCATCCAGTCCTCCTTGCGTTTGATTGTAGAAGATTTACAGCATGTACCTTCTCCGCCTTTCTGAAAGTCATATTGAATAACCAATCTGACTTTGGCAAGTCACGTTTGTATTTATTCACGAGCCGAGAAGGTAAGCAATGGGCAAGCGTACCAGACAGCCGCAGGACCGCCCACCTGCTCCAAATAACCCATTTCATCCGTACCGCCAATTTTACTGGGCGTCTTTGTCTACGTGGAACCACCTGCTTCTTGACCTGCGCAAAGCAACAAGCGGTGTGTTTCTCGGCGCAAAGTCCTGTCACGGTCGCCGTATGATAAGTACTGCGATGCAAATTATATATACCTGACGAGCCATTTCATTCCAAACATCCTAAACGTTGAGCGACGGGCACCGCTGTGCGTGAAGCCCCGATATCCCATGATGTAGATGTTATTTATGAATTCAGTGGAAAGACGCAGTAGCGAATGGGTTCGTTCGCCTTGTATGTAAAGTCAGCTCGATTAAAAGAAGGTGTACACATAGCTGTTCTTGGAAGTTGTGTAGGAAGTGCGGAAGGGTATAGTCAGCGACTTGTTATACGCAAGGAGCTGGCAAGAGACAAAGGTCTAAAAAAGTTCTGGCATTTAGATCAACACAGAGAAGTTAAATATCAGATAAAAACGCACAAAGATTGTGCACCGCGAAACCTCAATCCTGGGTTCTCGAGTAGCTCTGGAGGCTGGAATAGATGGTTGTGATATCGATCCCTCTAGCTGAAGAGTAGCGCTAATTTTGGGGAAGTGGCTCGTTAAATGAGTAATAGCGCGTATATGTGGAAAGTAACAGGAAGCTTGAGATCAGCTTCATAGAACTAAAAGTGAAGTCGTCTCGCGGTGGTTCCCCCTCGTCCGAATTTCCAAATTCGGAACAAATTCCTGTATACATCGAGCCATAGAAGGCAATATTGCGTAAGCAGACTGCAGTGACAAAATGTCGGTCCTCGAGTTAGATCATCTACTATACGCAAGATGTTCCAACGTGATCCTCGAGCTGGCGCGTTTCTCGGTGGTGACCGCGTGTCAGGGCAAGATATACGGGATCAGAATGGTATGTGGCCTGGTGTTTATCAGCCTTCAGCTCAAATGATGCGTCGGATCAGTGACCGCGGCCTTGGCCATCGCAAACATCGTCAAAAGCTCTTTGGGTCCACTCGGGCTCGATAAAATGCTCGTTGACAACATCGGAGTGCGCATCATTTGCTACTGATTTAATACTTTCTTTCTCATTTTCATTAGGAAGTGACCATCTCGAATGATGGCGCAACTATCCTGTCTCTTCTGTCTGTGGAGCACCCAGCTGGAAAGATCTTCGTCGATCTCGCGCAAAAGCAGGACAAGGAAGTCGGAGACGGTACAACATCTGTGGTCATCATTGCATCTGAGCTTCTTCGACGCGCGAACGAACTCGTAAAAGCGAAAATACACCCGACAACGATCATCACAGGCTACAGACTTGCTTGCAAAGAGGCTGTCAAGTTCATGCAGGATCAACTCAGCATCAAAGTGGATTCTCTCGGTCGTGATGCACTTGTAAATGCTGCCAAAACTAGCATGTCTAGCAAGATTATCGGAAAGTACGTTGTCTATAAACTTTTGGCATTACCTTGCTTGAGTTCCTTCGAAGTGATGATGATCTATTTGCCCCTATGGCTGTGGACGCCATGCTTGCTGTCAAGACTATCAACTTGCGCGGTGACATCAAATATCCAGTCAAGGCTGTCAACGTGCTCAAGGCTCATGGGAAAAGCGCTAGAGAATCCTTGTATGTCCAAGGTTATGCACTAAACTGCACAGTCGCCAGTCAAGGTCACATTCTTTTTTTCTTGCGTGAGTTATTCGCTAAACTACGATATCTAGCGATGAAAAAACGCGTAACCAATGCAAAAATTGCGTGTTTGGACATAAATCTTCAAAAAGCCCGCATGCAGCTTGGTGTGCAGATATTGGTCGAAGATCCAAACCAGCTGGAGGAGATTAGGAAGCGGTTTGTTTTCAAGTAACTGTTCATCTGGTCCTCGTTTGAATGCGCTTTTGCAGTGAAGCCGAAATTACACTAGAACGAATTCGCAAAATCTTAGCATCAGGAGCAAACGTTGTTCTGACCACAAAGGGCATTGACGACTTGTGTCTAAAAGAGTTTGTAGAAGCTGGCGCAATGGCAGTTAGAAGGTGCAGAAAGGAAGACCTTCGACGCATCGCAAAGGCAACAGGTGGCACGCTCATCTCGAGTCTCGCGAACTTGGAAGGTGAGGAGACATACGAGGCCAGCTACCTTGGTTCGGCAGACGAAGTTGTCCAGGAGCGCATCTCCGACGACGAATTGATCCTCATCAAGGGCACCAAGGTGGTCAACTCTGCATCTATTGTTCTGCGTGGGGCGAATGATTACATGCTAGACGAGATGGAGAGAGCATTGCATGACACTCTTTCTGTCATTAAGCGTACTTTAGAGAGTGGTGCTGTTGTTCCTGGAGGTGGTGCGGTTGAGTCTGCACTCAGCATTTACTTGGAAAACTTTGCAACAACCTTAGTGAGTCTCGTAATTATCGGCATTTCCCTCGATGATTCTACAATTACACCCTAGGGATCGCGAGAACAGCTGGCAATCGCCGAATTCGCTGCAGCTCTGCTTTCAATCCCGAAGCAGCTTGCTGTTAACGCTGCGAAGGATTCCACCGATCTTGTTGCAAAACTACGTGCTTACCATCACGCCGCGCAGAACGCACCTGCAGGTGATCCGAAAAAAGTGCTACTTCGGTATGGCCTAGACCTTATGAACGGAGATGTCCGTGACAATGTTGTGGCTGGTGTGCTGGAGCCAACGATGAGTAAAGTCCGGAGTTTGAAGTCAGCGTATGAGGCTGCCATTTCACTCTTACGCATCGATGACGCTATTCAGTGCGTACCGGGTAAGCGATTGTCACTTCACCCGGAAGTCTGTCTCACTAGTCTTAACAGAACCAAAGCCAGAAGCAGATTCACATGGCCATTAAATACGAACAGCCTTGGGTTGACAGTCCTACGTGTAATTCATACGCCTATAATGCTTACTTACATTGAAAAGTATGCAATTGTCTTGATCGGAAATGCATGTATACATCTACGCGATTGTCACGTGATTGTTCCACGCGCAGTTTGTTTATGGGGACTCGCGTTGCACTGCTTAACCTTCTCATCACCGCGCTGCACTTGTAAAGCCATTTTAAATTTCAAGTACTGCCTCCTTGGACAGACACGCTAGTTTGCAGGAGACTGGATTTAATCATATTTCTCCCTGACTTATATTCTCATGCTTTAGGCTTGTACTAATGCCACTGGAAGATTCGAAAGCCGTTACGAGGCCTACATTTCTCCCACAAATCAGACAGCGTTTCCAGACCCTCATATGGACTTGTCTCGATTTCGACCTCGTCAGATCTGCAGCTTTCTATGCGGAACTTTACCTTGTCATGGACGAGAACAACCACGATGCGCGTCATCTTTATGCCACGGCACTTCTTCGATCCGGTCAACCACATTCAGGGCTACAATTAGTCACTGGTGTTCAACAGTCGAGATGTAGTGGATGCTTAGAAATCAAGGGAAAGTGTTGTGCTGCTCTTGGTCGGCACAGGCTAGCACACGAAGCTTTTGACGCTAGTTTACAGGATCCAACTTATACCCCGACGGGTGCGCATTCTATTCCATATTGCCGTACATTCACTGACCTTCTCTGCAGCTTCTATGGGCCCTCGAACCTCGCGCGCATTTCCAGAGGAGGCTGCAACACGATGTCGATCTGGAACGATGGCAATGAAGGGCAATCTTCCTGAGCAGGCTACTCGTAGATTTCAACAAGCTCTCGCGCTCAACCCTATGTTGTGGGAAGCATTTGAGGGCTTGTGCTCTCTCGGTGATCACCTTGAGCTTATTGTCACATCCTGCAACTAACTTATTTAACCTTCATTTTTAGGTACGGCTCCTGATGTAGATGAGATCTTTCCAGCGCGACCCGCCCCAGTGAAACAGGGTCCGCCAGAAGAGCCCCCACCAGCCAAGGCACCCTCTGGCCCGATTGCTACTGGAGTTGGATTTTTTACGCCTGACATCACTGTCAATACCACTCTATATCGTGGTCGCAAGAACGTCCCTCAATCTTTCCGAATGGATCCTCTAGATCCACGCGACTCTATGTAAAGCGGCTACGACCCTCTTATGATGCAATATGTCTGACATGGTCTTCTACATTATTTTTAGCGCTACTAACGAGCCGTTCTTTCATACGGAGAACTCATTTCTTCACCCTCCACCCCGTAATTCTAAATTTGAGCTAGCAGGGTCTGGCCCGTCTCAGCCCGCCGCACGACCGCTATCTTCGGCGGATGAGACTGGTCCTGCGCAGAAGAGACTTCGATCAACGATTCGACAAAAGAGCACTGAGACTGTCGCATCCAAGCTGACTATGGACGAAACCTCGAAAAAGGCACGCGCACGCCCGGCCCTAAAATTTGCTAATATCTTCTCATCACCGGGTCGTCGTTCTCAGCCCGTCATATCATCCAGACCAGTTGCTAGTGGGGGAATTACCAAGAACGAGAGAGGGAGTGCTGCTGTTGCGCCGCGGCGAAGCACGCGGCTCTTGAGTGGCACTACTAGCAAGCCCCTCAAGGTTAGTGGGTGAATTTAGCCTCCTTACCTGATTGTATTTTGGTCTAATATCAATCACTGACATATTTCTTGAAGCATCCACCTCCACGAGATCGCCGCCGACAGTTGACTACCTCGCGATCACGATCAATAGACTCAGATGGCGAGGATGATGCCAATCTGCACGGAGAGGTCGCGTCTTCGACCTCGCCAACTTCGAATGCTCAGTCACCTCCTTCTGAGACGTCTCCCGCGCCAAGCAATTGGACCGCGGCACATGAACTCGCTGCTCAAGAGGCGTACGATTCAGAGATGGCAGACCAATACATCTATGATTTACTCCGGCGATTTGCACGTGCTACTCGAGCTTTATCCAAATATGATTGTTACTCCTGTCTTATGGAACTCGACCAGATACCGCTTGCACACCAGCAATCGTCGTGGGTATTGGCGATGGTGGGGCGAGCCCACTATGAACGACTCGAGTACGCGTCAGTACGTAATTATCATTCGCTTCAGCCATATACTTCTTTCCGTTTACGTTTATGTTATCTTCTATCACAGGCAGAGCGAGCGTTCAGGGCAGCTCGAACTCTGGAGCCTTATCGGTTGGGCGATATGGAGGTTTACTCGACTCTTTTATGGCACCTTCAGCAGAACGTGCAGCTTTCATATCTTGCGCAAGAACTTATGAACATAAACCCACGCTCTTCGCAGGCGTGGATCGCAGTTGGCAATCTTTTTTCCTTACAGAAAGAGCGGTCTCAGGCACTTACGTGTTTTCGACGAGCTGCTGAAATGGATCCGTCCTGTGCTTACGCGTACACTCTTAGCGGACATGAATCTATTGATGAGGACCTGGACAAAGCTATCGGGTTCTTCCAGACTGCCCTCCGCGCAGATCCGCGACATTACAATGCTTGGTTAGGTTTATGTGACCCATGAAGTGGCTTCTCGTGCTGATTGACTTCGCCCGTAGGTACGGTCTCGGCACCTGCTATTTGCGGATGAGCAAAATACGCCTGGCTGAATATCACTATCGCAAGGCAGTTGAAATTCATCCGAATAATGCAGTTTTACTAGGTTGTGTGGGCATGGTGCGTTGCTTGTTTGATAAGACTTTCCTGACTCTAATCCACCCTGGTTGTGGCTATCGACCTCTCAGGCTGTCGAACGTCGGGGTGACAAGGTGGCTGCTCACTCATTATTTGATCAGGCAGTTCGCGTAGCACCAGACAATGCGCTTGTTCGTTATCGTCGAGCAAAAATCCTTATCTCCATGAAAAGATACGCTGTAAGTAAACACCTGGTTACCAACCACTGATCGGGATGTTGACCTGCATTTTTTTTACATAACTTTTCTCCCACACTTGCAGGAAGCGCTGGAAGATCTACTTCAGCTTCGCGACTCATCTCCCGAGGAGTCGAATGTAGTGTTTCAGATTGCGAAAGTCTATCGATTGACGGGTGATGAGGTAAAATCGGCGCACTGGCTCGCCATAGCACGCGATACATCGCCAAAGAGCGTCAACAAACTGAAGAAACTCATTGACACCGTCAAGGACGAGGAAGGCAGAGATGACCAGATGGATGAAGGTTGAGGGGGCCGCATCTACCGGGACGGCATTCATGTCGTGTAGATAGCTGAGGGTCTCGGTGCATATAACATTTTTTTTATCGTTGGCGTGGTGGCGTTATCGCAATGGAGGCTGTTTGGATATATTTGTGATGTCGCCGGCGGTGTGCCGGGTAAATGCTTCTTTCCGAAGTGCATCATTTTGAGTCATTGTCACGGTTTCTCTATTTCAAAATTCCTATATAAGACCATCTTCGCCCCTTGCCTCCCCACTTTTCTTCACCGTCCATCATCATGTCTGCATAACAAGCTTTCCGTCTTTGAACAAAGCCCCTCTTCAATTCATCATTGCCGCGTCCCTTTAAAGAGCGTAGGCCCACCATTCCTGAAGTATGGTTAACAAACTCGCCCGTAAATCCAATAACGGCACTATCTTGTTCGAACCTTTCATCGTCTATCGTATACACCGGTCAAACCAGTTTCAACCCTGGTAGAACACTTTTCGACTCAGGTATGTCATATATACATGTATTGCTAGCAAAGAATCACATGTTGACGTTCTGTCTTTGACTCGTCAGACGCCACTTCATCATACGTTCTGAAATTCACCGCCCCTCACATGTCAGCAGAACCCGTAGACCTTTCCACCATGGCCCGTTCGAAGTTACATTCAGCTATGGGAGGCAGCCTCCACCGCTGGGTGCTTCTCAAAAACACCATATTTCGACCACCTAGCGCCCCCTATGAGCCCAGTGCGGCTACCAGTGCTTCTTATTCAAAACATGTTTACATTTCAAGCGACGTTGGAGATACCGAAGACGACGATGAAGAAGAGGAGTTGGATTCGTTCATGTTTCCTGACGCATCCAAGCTTGTGGGGGTCGAAGCCAGTACATCTGAAGCTGAGTGGCTCGACTCACTTTTAGAATCCTTAGTCGAAGGTGGAGAGGACGCTTCGGATGGCGACGTTCGTATATCCGTCTTAGCGGTTGAAGATGACGAAGACCCTCCACTTAGCCCCTTAATATCACCAATGTCTTCGTCGGACGACCTACTCAGCCATCAAGCATACGTTGTTCCATATCCTGTACCATATCCGCCTTTCCATCCGCCACTTGTTCGTCCATATGTCCTTGGGCCCATCATTGAGTCCCCTGTTTCACCATTTCCAGCGTATGATGCTCTACCATACTATGATGCCGACGAGTTAGACGATCTATCTGTCCCTGAAGCCATAGAGGACACTTCAGACGACGAGTCCGATGCCGTTTCCACGCCTTCCCTGGGGCGTTCGTCAGAACTGGACTTCTTGGATCCGACGACCCTGCCAGTTCCAGGGCAACGTAGGAGACGACGGTCACAGCCTCACGTGTACATTCGCCACCCGGACTCTTATTTTGATCGCTATGCACTCGATCCCCTTCCGTTTCCCGATGAAGATCAATCCAGTTCTTATAATGCTGTCTATCATGTGCATGAATGCTAGTTTCTCCTCTTTAACCTAGAATATGCTGTTCTGCTCTATTAGTAAGTAGTGTACATAAGCGTTTTTGTTGATGTATGTTTACGTCTGTTTTTGGGAATATGTTTCTCGCTTCCGTCCGTCACCCTCTTCTCACGACATTACGCTACCGCTGTGGGAGGAACGGCCTTTAACTGATAGGGTTCTTCTATTATGAACACCATACCAGTTACGGTGCCTTCACGTGTTGGACCGAAATGTTATTGAACGCCGAAGAGAAGTTTTCTAATGCGGGAAGAGAGTGGGACTCGAGGTGCGGTACTGACCGTAAAATCAGCCGCATGCATTCGTCGTTACTACATGATTAATCCCACCTAGGCGCATCAGATATGGTGATTCGACTTCCAACTTTGATTGGGGGTGACTACGTGGACGGTTCCATGAATTCAGTCTTCCAAACAATAGTGCACACGTACCTGTCCGTATAATCGCTGAACCGGTTCGCAATAAAAATGATGCGAGCCAGTTGTTCTTCTGACCAATTAGCACCGATAATGTTTTCATACAGCTTCAGGTCACAATGTGGCATATACAGGATCGTTGGACGTTCTACCACATGCTTTCCATCCTGGACAGGCACTCGTCAGACGCTGTCTGACATGAGCAAAAAGACTTGCTGTGTCCGGCAGACATCGCATTCCGAAGCTCTGAAATAATGCCTTATCTGCATCCGTGAACACTGGATCGTATACGGACACATTTGATGGACCCTAAGAACCGGCGTCAGAAGAAAAGTAGCGCTGTGACAAAATGTAGCTTACTATTTCCAAGATAGTGCATGAACTGATGAGGAAAGCCAGTTGCGCTCGGGCCTCACGCGACGATGAGGGACTCCCAAGACCAAGACACAACACATCAGGACACGTCATATTAGTCTTCCGCAGTGCGTCTTTGACTAGGCCTGCCAATAACGATCAATAAGATGCCTCAAGACGATGAAAGCATACCTCCCGACCTAGACAAGTCGTCATCCAGCCATTGGATTCAATATCCGCTATAGAGCGATCTACGAGATCTGTTAGCAAAGGCTGTTCGTGTCTGCCATTACCTCTCCTGTTCTTTCGAGCGCGAGCGCGAGTCGTGGCTTGTGAATACTCGAACGAGGTGTCTTCCATTGCCGAACAAGATTTCAGAGGTTGCGTGACAGTTGGTGTGAAAGATAGATGTAACTCCCCCACACCGGCTCGCACAGTGGCAAAAGTCCGGGGCTCGCTAGCATTGATCCTGTCAGTGGACTTCACCGTCGCCGTACCGGTTTGTTCGGAACTTGCCAAGTATCACCCATATTAGCAAGTGGCAGCGGCAGCCCTGGCAAATAATAGTTTGGGTTTATAATTTGTAGATAAGGTTGCATATCGGATCTGCTCCTAGTCCAGAAAAGCATTGTCTACAGAGTTTGCAGGGCCCACAAATCGTCTCCCAGATGCGTTACAATCTCGACAGCGACATCTTTGTTCAGTTTTCTCATCTCTTCCGTACTGAGCGCGGTAATCCCGATTCCGACAGCGTGCTCTTTTCCTTCAGCGTGTACAGCAACAGCGGTACCTTTCGGTAATGCTTCCTCAGGTGCCGGAAGGTAACCACCAGCTGAAGTCAATCCAGGACACATCATGGGAGCACCCGCCAACAAAAAGCGAATTGCGCCCCTGTCAACGCCAACTTTAGGCAGAATGAACGGATCTGTAAATGATGCATTTCACATGTGTCGGGGATACCATCAGACCCAAGGAATGGCTCACACTGGTGAAGTAATCGAAGGGTGGGGTAAAACGGCCCATCAAAATGCTGGAAAAAGAGGGGTACGTTGTGGACGGAGTATATTGAGATGTGTTCTCTGCTTCTTGTCATGCAGACAAAGTATGTCAGATAGACTCGCCAGGATCGGATACCCTCGAAGGACGTACCATTTCACATGGATCAATGTCTCCTTCTTGGGCCAGATCTCTTCGAGCGTTTCTGGTCCAATCTTCCATTGCTGAAGCACAGCAGCCCTTATCGATCGTTGTACAGAGGACTTGGGCGGCGTTTGGCCTGCGATATCTGTGGAAGGTGTAAACCTAGGATGTAATCGTGAGCGAACGAGCCGCTGTGCGAATACGATGCTAGTGTATACTTTTTGAACATCGTGATGGTGATGAATAAAAGGCTGGAACTTGTTTCAGCTACTATACCAAACAGTCAACTATACACTCGCAAGTAGCTCTGTTACACAACATCCTTCCACTTTCATGTAGTTTCCTTTCATATCATGGTTTTGAAATATAGTCTCGATCGACAATCACCACTAGTAGACAACGACGGAGGCAATGATAATCTACCATCAGAAATGCAAGTCGCCGAAAACGCGATTCGTCGGACATTGACGCCCTGAAAAGACTTCTGGGGCATATGACTGGTCAGAAGAGAACAAGGATGATTCAAGTAAGCCTTATCTCTCCGCTGATCAATTCTAGGTATACCCATATGTCGCTACAGAAGTCTCTCTGCAGTGAAACATGACAGATAGTCGGAACGTTGCATCAGTTCCTCGAACCAGCTGCGGACACCGTCCTCGGAAACGGTTTTCGACGAAGAGTGGCCGCGGCCGAGGTGAAGACAGAGATGGTCGTGGCTTCTTAGATCCGAATGTTGTCTTCGACAGAAGTGGATGTCTATCTATCTTTTCTCCGCGTCCTCTGACGAACCCAGAGTCGTGTTCAAGTGCTCGCCTTCATCCAATTCCAACGATCGATCGTGGAGTACCTCCTGCGACGCGTCGAAACGCCATCCATACTAGTTCACCTTCTTATCCCCATTATTCATGGATGGAGTCGTGGGTAATGCAGGCAACCTGAACGTCGTTACCTTGCCTAACCATCCCAGTAAGTGGGCACATTATCTGCATCGCAGAGTGGAACTCAGACACGAATAAGCGCAGACTGTCAAGCGACAGAGCACTGGAGTCTCAGGACATGAGTGTCACGCGCATTGCTTCCCATCTTACACATGTTTAAATGTTAGATATACTACTTTCTTGTAGTGTCTGGCCTACACACTAATACATTAGATATCGAGAACACAAGAAATCTTCGATAGCAGGATGAGTTGCTATGACAAAGTGCGATAAAATGAAACCCGTCCACTTTCTGGGGAAAAGTAAGTGAGACAGACAGTTCATGCAGGGCGAGATAGGGTGCGACTTGCGCGAGAAGCTACGGTACGTGGCAGAAGGATCGGGACCTTTCATGAGATATCCTCATCTTTGTCCTCGAGCTGCGAAGGTTTGAGCATGCCAGGGATACGCATGGCCATCTCTCGTTCTGCTTGAGCCTTCATCTGCGCTTCTGCTTCCTTTTCTTCTAGATAGAGCTCGGCATTATCGCTAGAGGAGAACTCTTTGAGTTGAATGAGGAAGTCACGTAGAGCGAGCTTGAAGCGGTTGATATCGCCGTGGAACTCGCCAAGACCCGAGACGAAGACTTGAACTTGCGAGCTACAGAAATCATTCAGAGATGCCAACAGGAAAGTGAAAAAGGGGACGCACTTCTGCACATGAGGGAACGCTGTCTTCAATAGATTGGCACAATATTCTTTAAGGAATACGGAATTTGAGACGTTAGGATCTGCCATCTGCGCAGGATCAAATAGAGGTGCTTGGATCTGGTTCGTCTCAACCAGCTGGAACATGCGTGCGAGCAGAAGGCTTTGAAGTTTGAAACCACTCTTGTGGTCTGTATCCGTGAGTACAAAGAATATATCTTGCACGATGCTCAGGAAGTACTGTTGGAAAAACGCATTGCTGACGGCAGTCTCTGCGCCCGCAAAATTGTTGACCACCTCAAGACACACTAAAAGAAACCGTAAGTGCGTCCTATCCATGTACGTGAAGTATGTGCTCACAGTTGAGTCCGGTGTCAGCAATGTCACGCATCGTGTGCTTGATTGCCCAGATGATACTGTCCATAAACAGCTTGAACTGTTGTGGCGGGATGCCAAGCAAAGCTGTAAGGTTATTAGCACGAGGCGACGACTCTAAGATCGAGACACATACCAGGGAAACAATTAAGGTTAATTGCTCGGAGGAGCTTGAAGAATCCGACGCGATGTTCTGGGAACTCGGAGAAGTCTTGGTTGATCATGGTCAATGTAGGCTCGAAGACTGCATCAAGAATAGCAGGAACTTGAGGAGTCAACAAAGGCTGTGATTGTATGACGGGATGAGCGAAAAAGTATGGCACTGATCATGCTATGCACTTACCCCGAGACGACTTGTAATGGTAGCCATCACGTTTAGCACCTCAGCATCTCGTGCAGTCGCTACATTGCGGTTGTAGTCACCAAGAATCGCATCCAGTAGTGGGGGCATGAAATTCGTGTTCACGGCTTCAAGATCCTCAGCTTTCTTGATATACGTCTCCATCAGTTTTAAGATCTCCTTCTTAACAGTGCGCAACTGTCGTATCTTTGGCGTCTTAGTGGAAATAGTGCCTAATGATTGGGGATGAGATACGACACAGGAAGGAATTGGGAGGGCTGAAATACGGACCTTCTCGAGCTACCGTCTCACTGATAATGCCACTGACCGCCTTATACAGACCCAACATGTCCAAAAAGACCCGTCCTACCTGAGGCAGGTAGAAGCTGCCAATAGACGTGCAAGCAGATACGTTCGTCTTGAGGACATTGGATAAAATTTTGATATTATCAAGGTTGCTTAGGACATCCATATTCTGCGCCGCTTGAGCCATGAGTGAATCCCACTTAATGAAATTGTGAGCAAGCATACTTCTCTCGCTGATAAAAAACGGTACGTACAGCGTTATTGGGTAATTCCATCAGCTTAGCAATGAGCTTTTCTTGCTGAGGTTTGTTGGGCTGTGCGGAAATCATGTAACCGACGGCCTCGTAGAAGGTATGTACCTGTTGTGAAAATAAGAAGGTGTACCCAAGTAAGGTCAGGCGGCATACCTGTTGAGGCGACAGGTCGACAGTAATGCGATGGAGTAGGCGCAGTATTTCATCCACGAATGGCTCCTGTTCTCCCGATTGTTGCATGACAAAATGCCTCCTGCACTTCTGAGCGATCTTGATGAATGTGTCGCATGCCATGTCTTGAACACCTGGAGGTATCGTGCAGACATGGTCAGAGCGACAAGAGTATTTGGCAATGGAATCTTTACCTTCATGGGTCTCGTGCATGAACTCGAACAACTTATTGACGACTGTCTTCAGGAATTTCCAATGTGCCTTCAAAAAGCGCGGATACTGGCCGACGATGTACATGATATCTGAAGCGACGACAGCTTTGTTGTCTTTGCCTCGTTTTATTTCGCACAATCCTAATAGATCCTTGATGACGGTAACAAGGAAACGCTTTTCGGTTTCCTCATCTGTGGATCGGGGGAGGGGTTTAAAGCAGGTCCCATGGCTAAGAAAATGGCACTCACTCATGGCTCCTGATATGCTTCCAATAGCCCAGCAGAGCGTGTTCAAGTTCTGCCAACTCCATTCCGAACCATCGACTTGCTTCGCAAGTTTTTCGGTTAGTATATTTTCGGTGTCTACAACGTCAAGATGCGTAAGGTAGACCAGCAGCTCCCGCATTTGCTTATAGAGGACAATCGTATCCGATTCCTTCATGAATTCACGAACGATTTCACCTTCGTCGTTTTCGACAATTAGCACCTGAAGCCATCGTTATATCGAAGAGACAGGACAGAAAAATTCCACCGCACCTCCTCTGGCTTGACCATCCTCTCGATGACAACAAGTCTCAAGTTACTTAAGACGTCGCTGTAGATGTTCTTCCTCAGAGACATGCCGTTGAGCATGTTTCCGCCGCTACTCCCGAGGCTTAAGCCCATGAGTAATCCGCTTTCACCGATTGGGAGAGCTTGGATTTCGTCGTAGAGTTCTGCCACGAGTTTTGACCAGTATTCAAGAGTGATCTTGAAAATCTCGCGCTCGTCGACTTGGGAGATCTTGACCATGTAAAGATGTGCATTTAAGAGAACATCGCGGTTCGCCTCAGTCTCGACAGCGCGCAAATGGGTGGACAAGAAGTTGGAGAGGAAGAGGGCGAGGTTAAGAACGAGCTCCTGACCGGCGTCTGATGCTGAAGAATATGCCGCAGCAATGTTAGTTGAAGGAGGGATCATGCGGTTGACGGAGGTCATGACCATGGCGAACAATATGACGAATTTTGGATCGTATTCTGGGCCCACGTTCAATCCAGCAATCTCTGCTAGACATTTGAGCGTCACATTCCTGAAGTCGGGGGCTTCTAGGAACTGCAGAAAGGTTAATTTAGTTCGAGGAGTAGTGATGATAATCTTACGCGATTCAGAAGTGTGTCGATTATCATGGTCTCGAATATATATCCCAGAGGTATCCAATTCAAGAAACGCAGCAGAGTTTCAAGAGTTGCTTTGATCAAACTTGACTTCTGGGCCTCCTCCAAGACTTCTGAACAGAGTTTGAAGATCTCGCTGAATTCACCGCACATCTGATTCTTAAGATTCTTGATCTTGGTTTGCGTCATCTGCTCGGCAGAGAAATCGAAGACTTCTTCTGAAAGCAACCGCAATATGACCATATTGTTCTCGCACAAGGAAAGGTTGGTTTTTGAGGACTCCACCAGTTCAGTAATGAAAGTCGGCCAGTTATGCGGCCACTCCTGTTTCAAAATCTGAAAGATTCGATCCATAAGATCCCACAAGTTCATCTATGCTCATGTACGTGCATCACTCACTTGAACGAGAGCGAGGTTCAGTTTGTTGATGTACGTCTTCTCTTTCCGCATTGTGGTTTCGTCCGATGCCACCTTGACGGTGACTCCAACAACGAAATTACGGATTCCTACACGCGATGTTAGCCACGTCAGTTATCTTAATAAACAACCTACCTAATCTCTGTCCATCGGGTAGTGTTTTCCATCGCGTCACAATGAGCTTTTCTAGAATTTGCAAGCCGATGTACTGCAAACACGGAATCAGTCATTATGAGTCCGGCTTGCGTAGGGGACAGTACCTTGGACTGCGGAAATGAGGATCTCTCCAAAACGTCTGGAACTCTCGTCCATGCATCCAGATGTTCTTCAAATTGCGTCAGTACGTGTTGCGCCATTTGTTGCTGTACAAATGAATGTAAGTTCATCGCAGGTGGTAAACAGTATCTCCGCCGCTCACTTCCTGGCCAGAGCCAGTGTAAAATGCCATGACGACTTTATCTAGCAGGGATACATCGAACTCCCTCGAGAAATCGAGCAAGCCCTAAATGCTAAATTGAACAACAATAAATGATGATAAAGCGCGAAGAGCTTACCTCCATGGTTGTGAGAGTGCACTGCACCTAAGCTGCTATAGTATGGCGGTCAATGATTCCAGGTTCCGCCTCCGTTGAAGCGATGATGAAGGAAGAATGCGAACAGCAAGGAAGGGATGTTGGGCAATGGGCACAGGGTCCTCCTCACATCTAATCTGCTGACATAATATCGCTTCATAATCAGCTCCTTGTGGCCAATTAATGTAAAACGTTAGACACGCCGTGGTCCCGGAGGACCTGCCCAAGCTGCCAAATGCTGATGGGCTCATAAGTCGATACACATCTTAGTGCTAATATCATGGCGAGTTCGTCAGAACCAGATGCCATCACTTTTGGTCTGACGATCAACTTCTTCGGTGCGATTCCGATTCGATATCAATTTTAAGGTATGATCACCACCAGGAGGTAACAAATGTATCTATGACAGACCAGCCGTACTTGAATAACGTTGTCACAGGCTTCCATCTACTTTGACTACAACCTTGCCAGTAGCTCGTGATGTCATGATGCGGTCGTACGCACTGAGAACATCCTCGAATCCATACACGGAATCTACTGCCACTTTGAGCTTGCCTGGAAATGCGGTAAATCCAAGTGCCGAACATACAAAGAATCCAGTACAATACCTTCTGCCATCAAATCACGCAGCTTTGCAAGATCCTGTGGACTGTGAGTGACGCTCACCATGCTGTAAGCTGGATGTCAGCAGCGCGCAATAATTTGGTAGTAGAATGTACTGACGTCCACTTGGCATTAACACCACACAGGAACGATGGCTTCATGATCTCGCCGACTAGAGAAAACATATTTGAGACACCGGTAGACCCGCCCCACGATTTCAGGTCCGGCCAAGGTCCGGTCGATATGAATATGCCTTTTGGCTTCATGTAGGCGTTCGAGTGCTTGTAAAGAGCGGGGTCGACTAATGCAACGGCATCAAAGATGATATCAAATTTGGGCGAAGGCGGATTTTCCACAAGGTGCTCATGAAGAGGTCTTTTCGTATAATCAAGAAACTGACAAAGTGTTAGCAAAGGAATAACGACAGGGGAAAGCGCATACTTCATCTGCCCCTGCGTTACGACAAAATTCCTCGTTTCTTGATGAAGCACTGGTTACAACCTTCGCACCAAGAGCTTTCGCGATATAAATAGCATTCATGCCAACTGTTGAACTACCGCCATTGATGAACACACTCTGGCCAGCTTGAAGTTTTCCAATGCCGATGAGGGCCTGATAGGCAGTCTGCCCAGCGACAGGAAGACCGCAAGCCTCAATCGCAGAGATATTGGATGGCTTCAAGATTAAATTAGCAGCAGGAAGTTTTGTGTACTCCGACAGTGCCCCCTGTCCCGTCTTCGACTGCAGTGCTAATCGACAACCTTAGTCAACGCGGTGTATACACGAGAATACTCGTACTCACAGACTGGTATATACCCGATAACCTCGTCTCCCGCGGAAAACTCGGTGCCATTAGCATCCATGACTACGCCGGCGAGATCATGCTCTGGTGTAAGTGGTCTCCTGGCAAGGACGTTGGGCACACTCGACATGAGCTTCCATCCTCTAATGAAATTTTAAAGATATTCGATGAATGTTCTGGAAGGCCACCTACACCGGATTAAGTGCTGCCGCCTGAACCTTCACAAGTACTTCTCCAGGTGAGAGAGGGGGGACAGCCACATCCGTCTGCAAAACAAGAGATTCGGAAGGCTTCCCTCGCTTCACAGCTCTCCAGGCTCTTTGTGTCACTGGCAGATTGGGAATTTTATCAGTGCTCATGGCGTCGAAGTTACGCTTGATCAAACTTGAAGAATAGGGACTAGAAAAGAACTACGGCAACAAGCAGTGATGTCGTTAATTAATACTTGAATTACAAACTCCGCGATGGCAGTGTTTTGATAGATCTTGGCATCATTTCGCCCGCTCGTCCGCTCGTCCCTTCGTCTTTCTGTAACTTTTGCCTACTAAAACCATTAGCAAGAGTTCTCTTTGAATCATCTTACGCCTAATTATTTTAGGTAAGTGAAAAATATTGAGGCACTTAAGGTGCGTTGATTGCGTAGACGACGCTATAGGCATCAAAGCCCCTATTCAATCGCACCAGGGCTGAAAATGACCGACTCTCATTCTAGCGATTCTTCCGTTGAACTCATAAGCACCATTTCTTGCTGTGCTACAGAAGCCTCTGAAGATGATGTTGTTCGGAGCATTAACAGCGAATCTTCGTCGGAGAGTAGCATCACCGACAGCGACATGGACTATGTCCTGTTACCCCGTATCTCAGTGGGGGACTCCCTGGACAATGATTCCAGCAACAGCATCCCAGAGGATGTTCTGTCCACTCCATTCAATCTATTGTCAGTCAGCACGCCGGACCAGGAGGTGGAGAAGATCCGGAAGCCAGAAAGACACGAGGCCAGGACCCTCGATGGCTCATATGAAGATGCTGCAGCATATATCACACAGTGCGTATCTGTTACTACTTATTGAAATAACTTATATTTATTGTGGGTAGGTATCTGGAAGTTCCTGTGAAGGATCGTGATCATAGTGTGAAGCTCCTGTTTTTGCAGGCTCTCATTGTGGAATTCGGTATTTCCAAACAGCTGCCCGCCAGCATATCATCAGCAACAAAGCTGCTCAAGGATTCTCTCCATGTCAATATCAACGATTATGTAGCGAGGCGGGGAAAAGACCAGGGTGAGTTGCAACAGATCATGCAGCTCAGCAAGAAGGCCCTACGTAAGGATCTTCGGCGCAGCAACCGAAGGAGTTCTCTGAAGTGGGTAAAGGAACATGGACTAAATGTCCTTCTAATCGGCTTCTTCGATTAATTCTCGTCTTTCATCCATGCATGGCGTCGCATAGACCCGTATTTACAACGAACTTGTTCCCACTGTGCTCCATGATTTGAGTTCAACTCAAAAAACAACAACATAAATTTTACAATATGTATGACTACGAGAACATATGACTAGCAAGTTCGAAGCCACCATATTTATGCAATGAAATGTTGAGGTAAAAGGGTATCGACAGCACTGCGACAAATCTAAGACTCAGCATGCAGAGGAGCTGTGTAAAATGTTCATGAAGAAGCGATCGAGCAAAATATTGTAATAAAGATAGACACTGCGTCTTGCATTCCAAATGAAATGTCCCTTCGTACAACATCAAATACCGTTCTCTTCAGCTGCTAGCATGATCGCGATCTCAATCAAAGCTTGGTTCAAACCCAGAAGAATCTGGGGGTTGGTGCTGTTTGGCGCAGCCACAGCGGGCGCAGTGGGGATAGCAATCCCACTGCCCACACCTGAGTTGTAATTGACTGATGCAGACGAGATTGAAGCGGAGGTAGAAGAAGTTGAGGGGGTTGGAGTCGGAGTCGGAGTCGGGGTGGTAGGAGTCGGGGTGGTAGAAGTAGAGGTGGTGGAAGTAGATGAAGTCGTAGGAGGTGACCATGTCGGCGTCGGAGTCGGGGTGGTGGTAGACCCAGGAGTCCAAGTCGGAGTCGGAGTCGAGGTGGTAGGCTCCGGAGTCCAGGATGACGAGGTGGTGGTAGTGGTTGACGGAGTAGTAGTTCCGTCATTGAACCACCATGATCCGTAGATCACACCCTCTGACGCAGACGCAAAGTAGTCGAAAAGACCGGTGGAGAAGTCAAGTCCACCATAAGGACAGCCCATACACTGGCCGTCTTTGGGTAAGGTCACGATATTGAACAGGGTAGTCAAATACAGACCTCATCCATGATAACAGCCTGGGCTGTTTTTCCACCATAAGAAATTGTGATTGAAAGGAAGCACATTGGGCCAGGATATCCGCTGCCGTACTGATCGACATTTAGTGCCACGATCTAGAAATGACACACGGCATGAGAAGAAGACGTCATATAGATATGTTATCGATACAGACAAAGTCAGTAGGAGAACTGTAATCCCCGCAAGCACCCCTTTGAAAAAAAGGAAGTGATGAGCAATTTTCAAATAAGGCACGGTCGAATGGGACTCACAAGCCGACATCATAGAAGGTGAAGCGAGCATTATCGAAGGAACGCTTAAGGACGTCTACATCACCACGGGCGCGGATGGCGAGATCTTGGTGACGTCTGCCCCAGTGGTTTCCATGAATGTTGGCGAAACTTAAAGGAATGATTGTAGAGAGAAAACCGATAATAGTAGTGACCCGCATTTATGCGATTTATAGAGCAGGAATGACACAAGTTTTCGGTGCAGATGATCTGTATCAGACTTGAAGTTGAAAGAGCGTATACACAAGGGAATGACTGGCTCGTAAGATTACAGCTTGCTTGAAGCCTAGGGAAGGGAGTGGTCTATGTTACAATGGAAAATAGTGAAATTATCTTCATACCAACCACTATCACGTCAGGACCCCGAGAACACTGGCAGGTTACTACCAAACCAGTTCTAGCGCTCAAGACTCTGCTACCAACCGTTGACATGGGGGTCATAAGTGTATTTTAGTCAACAATAGCATTTATGTAAATATCTATATATTTAGGCACGTCGTAGCTAGCCACCACGCACCCTTATTTTGATGGGCACTACCGCCTAAAACATAACCTAACTTGGAATTTCCCGGTTATTCCAACCCGCTCCTCCCATATGATGTTTCTTAACTATGACATCCAATATATTTGACTATCAGAGGGAGAATAAAACATCCATAGTACTTTGTACCTGCGAAATTATAGATGTCTCTAGGTGATGGGCATCAAATTATGCCAAAAATAAAAATAAAAATAAAAATGCAAACATATGATAGCCAAAGACCCCGACTCCGCGTTCATGCGACTGAAATTATTCGCTGAGCCGTTCATGTTTTGCGGCAAACAAAAGATGTAGGGGTTCAAGCGATATTGAGGTATGAACGATAGTCTCGCTAAGTACGAAGGTCGATGAACACAGGTCTCACGTTTGCGTCAGCTTGCTCCAAGGGTCGTCCTCGCATCCGCCCGGACCACTGTACACGCACACCCGATAGTAGCAAACAGTATGTAATGTCCAACATAGGGCCACGCCCCACAGGACAATAAACATAGGATATATAAAAAAGCATGGGTGACATTGTAAGCAAAGATAGTACATAAATTCATTCCAGAATCAAGGCCAAAATCACCCGCACAGCTCTTAGCATTGCGTTTTTACCAACTGTGAAACTCTCTCCTTCGCGTGGCGAGGAGTAAATATGCATGGGAATACAGGATGCCTGCATCTGCTGGCTCAGACAAACTGCGAGGAACCTCGAGGATGACTCACGTGGTTAAGCCTCCCGTCCATTTCACTCCTTCAGCATCAGGCCCGACATTCCATCCTGGTGCACGTTCTACCCGGAAAACAGCTAGAATACTCACAACTGCAGCGAATAAGGAAGCATCCGCAACATGTCGTCCAACGCTGCTGAAAGGTGAGGCAGAACCATGTATCCGAAAAACTCAAAACTTCGTACCAAACACGCCTTCCAAATCCAAAAGCAAAGGAAGCATTATCAGGGCCATGTTTTGAGGGCTCTTCAACGACTTTTGACATGTGACGCTCGGGTATAAACTTCGTCGGGTCAGGATATTTCTCGGGGTTTCGCGCCATAGACCTTGCATAAGAGGAAATGATTATAGTCTGATCTTTGTTCATTTGGTATGATGAATCACCATGCGTTAGCCAATATAGTAGCCCCTTCACAAACAATTGAGCGGGGATGAAGCTTTTAGTCTGTAGACTGACCTTTTGGAATATAGTAGCCTTCATATACATCCTCATTTATTGCGGCATGGGCGATGCCTAAATCCACGGTCAGTGACTGTGCTAACCAGAGCTCAATGAGTCGACAATACTGACCCAGAGGGACGACAGGGAACCACCTCAGTGTCTCCTGAATAATGGCATTGATGTAGGGCATACAAGCGCGATCAGCCCAGTCAGGCAATCTTTCGAGCGTTTCCCCAATGACTGAATCAATCTCGGCTTGTGCACGTGCTTGCACCTTAGGATATAGAACCATTGCTAGCAGAAAGACGTATAAAGTGGACCTCGTCTGGGCCTTTTAGTCAGTAGATAGCTGAATATAAATCACTTCTAAGCATACAGTTTCTGAGGCGGCTATAAGCATGGAGAAAATCAGAAGGGATATGTCAGAAAAATACGTGACCACTGCAGAATCGTCACGAACCAACATAACCAGCTGCACTGGCTTCCTTAATCGCTTTTTCAAGAGCAGCAACCTCTTCATCTTTTGCTTCAAGTGGTATACGATTCAATGCATCTGATACCATAGACGGTACTGCCGTCCCCGCGGCCTGAGAGTCATCATCAGCATCATCTCAATGATACTAAGATCAAAAGGCACTTGACACTTGCCATGTTCTTCTTCACATGTTCAAAGGGTATGTCCACAACCATTGGAACGAGGGTTCTCTGGAGTATTGCACCCCTTACAAAGCTCGCTCCAGGGAACCAAGGAGGAAGCTTTTCCACTATGGGTGCATGCATTAGAATAGAACCACAGCTGATGGAAGCTGACACCACATAACAATACGCACGTATCGGGAACTCTGTTATAACAGCTGCGACCTCGGGCCTGAGTTCTCTTACATTTATTTCAATTGAGCGCTCGACAAGCGCAATAAAAGGATCGTCAAGGGACGCTGTAGAATAATCATACACGATTGACATGATGGTAGACGTGCTGAAGCTATGTAGAAGGTATGGTTTAGCCACGTAATACGTGAAAGGAAAGATTACCAACGTGTGGAGATGGGTTCCATACGCCTCCGGAGAGGCTAGTAAGTTTAGTATCAAACCGTGAGCGTTGCGCATTTGAATGGGATGGAAGGATGACGCTGCATCTAAATGGAATGCTTGATGGAAGATTCGCCTGTCTGTAAAGATATGAGAAGTACGATAAAAGAACTTGTAGGAATATACTAACGAAGTCGCCACCTGTCCGAGTAGGGCAGAAAGATAGAGGAAAAATCTTGACCAAGACTAGGACTCGTTCGACAATGAGCACATAAAACGATAGAAACGCCTCACAGGCCAAGAACGTGCACAAGCCCTGCGGGTCTCGTGGAATAATTATGCGAACGGCGGTCGAGCAAGTCATGCGCAACTCTTTCGGAATTGATGATCACGATATCCTGACTGAAGAGTCGAGAGTAAACGATTTCCCCTGTGTCGCAGTTCAGCACATTCATATCCACATGTCAGTGGTTCTACACACCATATTCAGTTCCCCATCTTGAGTATGCTAACCAAGGATGATCTGGGTCAATTCCGATCACGTTTCCAACAAAAGGGAGAGGTGGGGGACCAGGGGGTAAAGGAAACCCCTTAGTGTCTCTCTTCTTTTGCAAGGATCGCACTACCACAAAAGACACGAACGATATGATGAGGGCGCCGAGTGCCACAAGTGTTGGGGCCATGACATGAACCTGTAACTGAAGCTCCCATCTAACACCGCGATATTTTGGGTCTCATATCTATTCTCTGAGCCTCAATGTATAGCTATTTGCAGAACATTAGCGCTTTACCAGGTACATTCGGGGCAATAAGTCGGACGACACACTTTCAACTTCCGACGACATTGTAACATACTTAGTGATTAGTAAGTCTCTGGACCCGGATCACAAAAACGTTCAATTACTGGCTGAAGAGGTAGTGAAAAGCGTCTTTTTGAACACAAGGGGTGGACCCGGTCACTGCGAGCACACCGAGACTCCGACTCGGCCACAGCAAAATGCGATTAGATTTCTTACTGGCTGACTAAGGTAGACTTTGCGCAAAACCAGCAAACCTCACGTGGTGTGACCAAGGTGTGACATGTACGTTGGCCGGACGGGTAATCCTTTCGAGACCGAGAAATCCCATTATGGACAGCGCAGATAGACTGCGAAGAGTAAGTAAGTAGTAGTGTAGTTTGATGATAACGTAGATGATATGTATGTGATATGTATGTGACTTGGTCCATGCTCAATCTCATTGCAGTCAGAATCCAAGTCATGGTCACGGTCCAAATCTGAGTCTGACTCGGAGCTCGAGTCTGATTGATCTTCCATGGGTATGTCCAGAGTTTCCTTAGTGACAACAGACAACTGAATGTCTGCCAGTAGTCTATATTCATGAGGCGAGGCTGATACAGGAATGGTTGTGTCTACTGTAGGGCACTAAAAAAGAAGGCATTAGTTTTCAATGACTCGGAATATTTGAGTATGTCCAATATTCACCTTGTTCTCCTTGTCTGCTTGTGCTGAAACCTTCCTCTTCTTTGCATACTGCCCAAGGTTTTCAAGGGCCGAGCGCACCTTTGATGAGCACTTGGGCATCCTGGTGGTGAAGAGGGTGGAAGTGACACTCCGGACATCGCTAAGTTACGGCATGCACGGCGGCAGGTCATTCAAATTTGGACTTAGTGGAACTCTGATTACCTCTGTAGACTAAAGAATACACATCTCTCTCAACACGGCATTAACAAACAATCGGGAACGGATGATTTGTAGTTAGAGCTATCCTCTACAATGTATCCGTCTCTGATTTTCTTAAACTAGTCCTGTTTCCCTTCGTATACAGGATCAATGGTTTTGTCACGCTTTATCACGCTTTATCACGTGAGGTTTGCTGGTTTTGCGCAAAGTCTACCTTACTAAGATCTGAGAATTTGAAGAGTCGTCGAGTCATCCCCATGATACTGAGGAAGCGCGGTTGTCCAAGTCTGGCTTTCCATAAGGCAGTAATAACAATACCATCTACTACCCCGAAAACTTTAGACAAGCAATGGAATGTACGGTATTATGTGGGTATAGCAGCTACTGGCTGAAGAATGAGTCCTTTGAACCTTGACGAGCTCGAAAAATGTCCACAAAGTAGATATAGCAATCCCATACTTTTGTCAGGAAATCCGCCGCAGACTGCGAATCTGAAACAACTAATATTACGTCTGAGCGTTACCAACAAACTCGCCAAGGTACACCATTGCCAGGTTGAGGCTCATGAGACCGGACAAGTCTCCAACAGACCCTGCAGTCTCCGCTACAGCATCAGCACTTGTTGTGCTCGAAACACTGCTTGGCGCCGAAGGCAACAACGAACTAATAGGGGTTGAGGCTGAGGAGCTGGAGCTGGATGAACTTTTCGAAGTTAGGGACAGTGTAGGGCTCTGAGTCGGGGTTGTCGAAGGTGGAGGAGGCGGGGTCGAAGTTGTAGTCGGCGGCGGCGGCGGCAGCGAGGTAGTGGTTGGCGCCGGGGGTGGTTGCCAGATGGATGTACTAGGTGCTGGTGCCGGTGCCGGCGCGGGAGCACTACCGAAGGACCATGAACCCTCGAGCACACCCAAAGCAAGTGAACCAAAAAACTGGAAAAGGCCGTCTGAAAAATCAAGGCCCCCAAAGGGGCATCCCATACACTACATTGGACGTCAGACTAATCCAACTAGTATCGCGATACTTGTCTTTACCTCGTCAACAACCTGAGCCTGCGTTGTCTTGCCGTTGCAGGTAATCGTGATCGTTTGGTAGCAACTTCCAGGAAATTGCTAGAAAATTTCATTGAATTGCTTTACAATAAAAGCTGAAATTTGAAATTCTTACCATTGTGTTCATTGCAACCACCTAAAATAATTCAAAGTTAGTTTCGAGTAAATTAATTTGAATTAACCACATACCATATCGCCGGGTTGGTTTGTTGTACCACAAGCACCCAGACCGACATCATAGAATGTGAAACGGGCATTAGTGAAATCGCGTTTGTACATATCAACATGTCCTGGCTCGCGAACGGCGAGGTCGGAATCTAGACGCTTTCCATTATGATGGCGTCGGTTGACTTGATGAGCACTGCTGGCCGGTACCAAGCACCAAAGTAGCAACACTGACAACTGAGCAAAGAAGCGCATATAGTCAGTCTAGAGAACAAGTAGAGAGCGTGAGGGTCAACGAGCAGGAAAGAGTGACTGGTCGTTGCTGTTGAAAATTTGAACACAGAAGGTGGTGGTTAAAAGTAATCGTGAGCCACCGCTTGTAATGCGACATATTATATGGAGACTCTTGTCACAGTATCACAAATTCACTTACGGCTTCAGCCAAGAACAAGCTTATACCCGAGTGACCCTTACATAAAAATAGTTGCAACCATTGACAGCCCTGGCATACGTGTGTTTTACAATGTCAATTGCCATCCCCTCCCTTGTCTATTCAAGACTCAGTACTTATAACACTGGCAGCGATACTACTACCATCTCTCGAGATACTCAGTAATAAGTTCTAGGGTTCTACCCATTTTCATTATTACAAGGCTGATACATTCGTAATCCACCATATGATCCCATCATTTGAGCTCCACTTGGGTGGGAGGGTCAATAAACACCGTCTATGAACAAATGAGCTTGGCACAGTGAAGAATAGAGCAAACTATTGGTACTCACTGTCACAAATTTGAGGACCTCGTCGATGGCAAGGACAGGCAAGCTGAGGTATAAAACCATTTGCCATTCAGCCCAGTTCAGTGGCGTTATTTGAAACAGCGCCTAAGAACAAACATTTTATATAACCTTCCAAATTTAGTGAGATCAACGCGAGAAGACTGACCGTGAAGAATGGAATATACAAAATAGCAAAGTGAAGTGCCATGCTAAGAGTTATTGCTCCCACGAGGAACGGGTTCTTCCACACGGGTAAACGCAGCAGGCTCTCGTTCTCAGATAGCGAGTTCATTGCGTTGAACATCTCTACCATTACAAGAATCGACAGGCTCATGGTTGTCGCACGATGTGACATGACGTTCGTAAACATCTCGCACCCAATCTCTGGAAAGAGCGTAGAGCACTGGTGGAAATGAGTCTGCCGGACTCATCAGCATGGAACGAACGATTGAGTCAGGGCAATACATACAAGTTGATGGAACGTGATCTGCGGTCCTTCCGAGTAGAAGATGAACCACCACGCATATCCGAACACGGTAGCGCATCCGACGTAAGTACCAATGACCATGTAACGGAAAAACAGCCATTTTCCAACAAGAGGCTCCTGACTGTTTCTTGGAGGAACCCGCATGATAGAATGATCTGACGGGTTGAACCCAAGGGCGGTGGCAGGTAAACTGTCTGTAACAAGGTTGACCCACAGGAGTTGTACTGGGATAAGTGCTTCTGGCATGCCGAGCAGAACAGTCAAAAATATGCTATAATAAAACTGTCAGAATCCACTCGGGATGATAACAATATATAGTCCCACCTAACGACCTCGCCAATATTTGATGAGACTAGAACTGGTCAGCAGGAACGACTAAGACAAAGTGAATTGCGCGTACTCAGGTATCGGATAAATTGCTTAGTGTTGTTGTATATGAGTCTACCTTCTTCTACCGCAAGCTCTATAGTTGCAAAGTTGGAATCCGCGAGCACCATATCAGCAGCCAATTTGGCAACATCAGTACCGCTTCCCATAGCGACCCCGATATCTGCCTTTTTCAGCGCCGGGGCATCGTTTACACCATCACCAGTCTAGAAAGACGTGTTAGTTAGCGGCAGAGATGACAAGTACCCCGACCAACCATAGCTACAACCAGCCCGAGACCTTGCAAAATATCAACAAGTTGGCTCTTGTGCGCTGGTTCTGTTCGACTAAAGAGACTAGCACGTTGTACAGCCTTGATCTTCTCCTCAGCACTGAGCTCATCTAGTTCCCGGCCAGTGTAGCTTTTCCCTGTCAAGTCCTCATTCTCTCCGAAGATCCCAATCTTCCTGCAGATCGTTTCTGCAGTGCCCTTATTGTCGCCAGTGATGCAGATAACACGAATGCCAGCGGCTTTACAGTTCGCAACAGCAAGACGGACTTCCGGTCTTGGAGGATCGAGCATTCCAACCAGAGAAACGAACACCAAGTTCTGTTCAAATCGAGCATAATCGCTAGTGTTTTGACTTTGATAGTGTGCGGGATCAACGTCTTGAACGTCTACGTAGGCGAAGGCCAGAGTGCGGAGACCAATGGACCCGTAAGAAACCATTTCGGCGAGGAGCATTTTACGTAGCTCTGCAGTTAATGGAATGACCTTGCCATGCACCATGACTGAAGTACACCGCTCCAAGACAGACTCGGGGGCTCCTTTGACAAAGAGGGCACCCTTTCCATTCAGCCGTACAAGGACAGACATCATCTTGCGGTCACGTGAAAATTCCATGGTGAGTAGCTTCGGGATGGAGCTCTCATAATACTCATTTACTACGCTCGCCCGTACGGACGGCGAAAGTGTGGGAAGGGACTGGGTTACTTCTTTGTCCGGACAACCAATCTTCTCTACGAGAACTTTCAAGGCAGCTTCAGTTGGCTCCCCCACATTACTGTACGAGGCCTTCTCCTAGGAACACCAATGAGATAGAGAACACCACATGGCAGTGCGGTAGAGCTCACGGAATTGTAGACAATGTTCGCGTCATTACATATAGCGCTAATCTCCGCGAGACGCCTGATGGGATCCGACTGCAGATTCACAGCCTTTTTTGTGGTGGAGGTGATTGAGCCGTGTGGGGAATAAGTTGTACCTTCAACATGATGGTCTTCTGGAAGGCCGGTTTGCGCATTGATGATGAGGAACTTGAGTAGCAAGATTAAGTGAGATGCACCTCATACGGTAGTGAATCGTATGTCACCTTTGAAACGCTCATCTGGTTGGTAGTGAGAGTGCCCGTTTTGTCCGAGCAAATGACATTGGTACAACCGAGAGTCTCCACACTTGGTAAATTCCTGACAATCGCGTTCTTCTGCGCCATCTTCTTCGTTCCTAGAGCCAAACATGCTGTAATGACGGCAGCAAGACCTTCTGGGATAGCAGCCACCGCAAGAGCCACCGCAATTTTGAAGTAATAGATGGCGCCCTTCATTACACCATGGTGTGCAGGGTCCCAGAAGTGCCGGAAATTGACCAACCACACCAGGATACAGATCACGGAGATCACTTTGGCCAACATATCACCGAAATCATCGAGTTTGCGTTTGAGAGGAGTCTTTTCACTGATTTGCTGTGAAATTGAATGGTGGATGTGGCCGATAGCGGTCTTCTGACCAGTGAAAGTGACGATGGCTCGCGCGCTCCCATTGACTACTGTGGTACCCTAGATAATGATGAACACCTTGTTAGACGTCGAGGAAGGAAGGAGAGCGCTTACAGAGAACAACATGTTTGTCATGTCCTGTTTCACGGCGCCTGTATCAGGGACGACATCGACCGACTTGTTCACGCTAACACTCTCGCCAGTAAGGATGGCCTGGTCTACCCTAAAGCTACTGGAGGATATGGACAAGATTCTGCAATCTGCTGGAATTTTGTCGCCAACTGAAACCGAAACGATATCACCTGGAACGAGTTCAGAGGCATGAATGTGGGTCAATTGGCCAGACCTGAGGACTTTAGCCTCGTCAGGGGAATATTCCTTCAAAGCCTACACGAACACACATGAACATGGGTGTACCACAAGACTACAGGATATAACTCACGTCTATGGCTTGCTCCGCGTTTGTTTCTTGTACCACCCCAACAGCTGCATTGGCGATAAGAATGAGCAGTATGACAGTGGGTTCGACGAATGCTCCAAACAAAGTGGTATCCTCAGAGTCATCTAGCAATGCCAAAATGAAGGATATGACTGCTGACGCAAGCAGGATCATCACCAGCTGATCCTTGAACTGTTCTAGGATAAGCTCCCATAATGGAGTTGGAGGTTCTTCTGGGAGCTCTGCACAAGATGTTAGCTACCAAAACAAAATACTTGAACAAGCAGAACTGACCGTTCTTTCCGTACACTTCAGCATGCTTGGCGGCGTGAGCTGCAGTTAGTCCGCGAGTCGCGTCAACACCAAAGTGCTCTAGAACATGCTCCGGGGTATCGGCCCAAGGATGGTCCATGACCGTAGTAGATAAAAAAGATGGTACAAACGCACAACCTAAGACCTTTGAACGGGACCGGAATTTGCTTTAGTGTGTTGCTGTAAAATTTTGCTGACGTGTCCGATTTGTTTGCGCAAGTTGTCGACGAGTTGACCCACGCGCCTCATGTGCGTGAACGTTCGAGTTGTGCGCTCGCCGATACCAACGTTGAACGTAGGTCATATTAGCGTAGGAGACAACTATTTCATAAGTGGTAGGGTATACAATACGCGGTATACATGTAATTGGTATAGACAAGCACGCCATTTAATTAGGCGCAACTCCATTTAAATTAATATTATTTGTCAAGTATCAGCATCTAGATTTATGCTAAGTAACCTAATTAAGCCTTATCCTGATCCAATGGCCTGCAGCTGCGGCTGGCCAAGTCGGGCCTTCAACTTGCCACCAAACACAAACACAAGTAAATACACTACGGTGACCTAATTGTCCATTGAACAGCAAAGGAAGTTCGCGCATATACGACGGTCTCGTAGCTCAATTTCGTCGGTTTCTCTCAACTTCCCAACACGTTATCGTCTTTGGAATTGAAGCCATGGGTAACACCAGCTCGTCGTCCTCACGCGGACATCACGACGACACCGTTGACTACGGTCATCTCACTCCTCAGGGCGTCTACACTGGGTCCAAAGATTGGAATCATGGGATCGTCACCCAGCTCATCGTAGATCGCAGGCTTGCTCCTTTCTATCGACCTCTAGAAGATTACAATGAAAACTGGGACGATGAGCAGATCATGTCAGCTAGAAGGGTCCTTCCAGATACTGACAGCACCAAGTTCCGACACCCCCCCTACAAGGGTTGACTCGCGAGATTCCACAAAGCCAGCTCATCAGTCTAAACGGCCTGGTGCATCTAAGGAGCCTTCCCGTTATCCAGAGGCTGCCATTTACAGAGGTGCTGTAGAATGCCCAATATGTTTCCTTGTGCGTTATCTCTCACGTGCGTCATGCAACCACTGAGTAAGTTGTATCTTAGTATTACCCCCCTAACATGAACCATTCAAGGTGTTGCGATCAAGCAATATGCACGGAGTGTTTTGTTCAGATAAAGAGGACCGAACCCACTGCTACACATCTCGTATCTGAGCCAGCAGCATGCCCATATTGTGTACAGGAGAATTTTGGTGTGGTATATACTCCTCCTTCATGGCGTACTGGAATCGGGAGCGATGGAACGGTTTGTTTTCTTCAAAGATATCCCTTATTATAACTGACGAGGTAACTTCGTTCTTTGCTCATTGTCATCCAGTCATTACCAGTATGGTCGGATATCCCTAAAGGCGCGCAGCAGAACATAGCCAGTGCGGCTCACAAACGACGTCGCAAAAGCTTTGGTCATGATAGTCCGGAAGTGGTCACTACAGGTAAATGACTTGCGCTCGAACGATCCGTATCATCATTGTGTCTTCCTGTGCATAGATTCTATAAGGCCAGACTGGGAAGCTAAACTTGCCGCTGTTCGAGCTGCGGTTACGCGCCGTGCAAATAGGCGAATAATCATGCGTCAAGTAGGAGACAGACTCATACCAGTTGGTGTGACCAGTGGCCGGGTTCATCCCCTACCGACCGGCGAGGCTCAGGACGGTGGTGAAGGGGAAAACAATGGCAGTCGGAGAAGTCGGCGACATAGAAATAATGGTGGTCAGCCGGACATCAGCCAGTTGTTGGGTCAGATGGGGCTGGGTGGGCAAGATTTGGAAGAGGTATTAGCTTTGTGCTGTGACGTATATGAACTAATATGCCTTTTCAGTTGATGGTGATGGAGGCTATGCGCCTCTCACTTTTGGAGCATGAAGAGCAGCAGAGAAAAGAAGAAGAGAAACGGAAGAAAGAAGCCGCTGCTGCTGCTGCTTCAGGGGAGGGAGATACTCCCAGTCGATCAAGTGAGGATCAGACGACCACAGACACAGTGGGGAACAACGCTTCCAATATCCCATCGGCCGCCCGGAGCTTGGAGTCAGGAGAGGGAACAGCCGAAGCGAATCACGGTGGTAGTCGGGCAATGACCCCTGTAGCAGGTCAACCAACCTCTTCATTTCACTCGCAGACACCCGTTGATACCAGCGCCACCCGCAGTGATGGGGCAATCTCGATTTCAGCCTACCCACAATGCCTGACACCGGACACTTTATCTCCGATGATTATTGATGGAACTGTTGATTCCACAGCATCGGCTGCGCCCGATGGAGTAGCCCAGCTTTCAAGTCAGAATGCTTCCATGTATATTGACAGCATGCAGCCATCTGCAGGGACGCCTGGTGCGGCCTCCATATCGTCATCTATTTCGAGCTCCAATACTCTAGGACAGTCGTCTTATGATGCCCTTCCATCTTCACCAGAATCGTCGACGGAGCAACCGTTGTTGAAACATGGACTCAATTTCAATCCGGACTGCCAGTCAAGGCCGCTAATTCATGATTGGGGGGTTGTGTGTTTATAGATTCTGGAGGAGCATATTTCATGATTCTTAATGTTACCACGTGCTGACATGTCATTTCATGAATTTGATTTTGTTCGCCATCAGACTTCGTGGAAGATGTCATGTGTATATCCGCGGAATGGTGGTGAGACGTTTCTCACTGACGGATGCAATTACACTCGTATCGTCTCACGGCACCGACATTGACTTGTCCTCTACCGCTGATTCTGTTGCTCGGCCCAAATGGGTTTTCCTGCATCTGGATCACTCTAGTCGTATAGAAATAAATAAGACGGCGCAGCATGTGTAAAATACTAACCTGAGCATCGACTTGACGCTTTATGGTTTGCTCTTGAAGGGCTCTGGCTGCACGGTTTGCATCGACCTTTCGCCGCAGATCAGGTGCCATTGCCTACGCTTATGATGAGACATGGTTCTACTATGCATCACCTCGGAACAGTTGGAATAATCCAGCATGGGGAAAGAACTCACGGCATATGTCTGTTCAGGTGTAGGTACGGTTGCTACAAATCAAGAACAAGGCGATGACATCAGGAGGAACAGAGAACGGGCAAATCAGATGGTGAAGGTCCCCGTATGATAGGTAGAAGACGAACCGCTCATCAAAAGGTAACCCAGGCCCATCACTGGCGTACCAAAAGCACCGTGCATCAAGTAAATTTCAACAATTGAGTCCAGTTCGTGCCGAGAATCATGTGCAGCTACAGTCAGCCTTCTGTGCTTGTCGGTTCGAATGATACGACTCACGACCGCCTCCTAGCAATGTCATTCTGAACCATGGAAAACTCATTGTGCGGGATTAAGTTGTTCTTGCGTTTGGTAAGTTGACGCTGTACTAGTGCGAGCCCAGTATTTACTTATTTGTATCTCAGACGCGCATCATACCTGGAAGTTAACTCCGGAACCTGGACCACCGCAATACTCATCAACTCGGAGGTCATCAAAACAAGCGTCCGAGGACATGCCCCAAGATATGCAATGATAGTAGAATTGGACGTTCTACAGTAAGTCGTGCTGGTATGCAGTATTGATTGTTGAAAAAAAACTATGCAGAGAGAACTTATGCTAGAGAAAGAAAGCATGACAGTAGGAAAACAGTGGCGATAAATAGTATAGCATGCAGGGAATCCGTCTAATCAGCCTTCCGCGTGCAGAAATGTCCGTATCACTTGTTGGCCGTTCAGCTTCCTGCGCTGAGACACAAAATCCATCATATCCGCAGTGCTTCTGCGGCTCACCAATTCTATTCTTGCTAGTTCCTCCTCCCATGCACGCATCTCCACTTGGCCGACTTTCTCAAACAACAAGCTGCTTTCTGCGCGGACAGAACCTTCGGGTGTTGCCGAGTGCGCTCCTTCAGAGCTCGCGCTTGAACTAGAATGGCCAAGCCGTGGAGCTTCCACCCACTTTTGTTTGAAAGCACCATGAGTACTGCGTTCATTAGTGGTAGGTCCACTGTATGCAGTTTCTGGGCGCAGGGGAACGGGGTGTCGATTGCTATGATTGTGAAGATGGTTATATCCCCGTGACCCATGTGGCGTGTCCCGGGGCCCCGCAGAAGTGTGGGGTCTGCGTATGGACTTTAGCTTGTACTTGCTTCCGGATTGTGGGGATGATAGAGAGGAAAACTTGTGGGTATGCCCATTTGATATTTCATGCTCGCCTTTAGGTGCAACGGGCGCCTTTTCTGGTACTTTGGCAATTGCAGGTGGGCTACGAGGTGGCGATGGTAGTTGAGTATTTGTATTTGTATTTGTATTTGGACGTTCTCGTTTTGATCGTTTGGGGGACCTAGACTTGGACTGCCCTGCAGCGGAATAACGTGAAAGAGCCAATTGACGCTGAGCCTCGTTGGTCGAGACTACGATGATTTCTTGGTCATCAAGCTCAACCGTTTCGGCGCTCGAGTTAGGGGAGGAGACGATCAACTAAAACACATGATCAGGCAAACAACAAGGGGGAAAATATGTGACATACCTTTACGCGAATAAAAAACCTGATAGAAACCATGCCGGTCTGAAGCGTTTCTCCAACCGTCCATCGACTACTTGGACTGGCATCGGGCCAAGAAAAGGTGAGCGTCTGACGCCAGGTGCCCGTAGAATCGCGAGTGAAGCGATGAGAAGATTCAAGATGAGCATAAATATGTGTCGTTGTCCGTTCGTTTGTATAAGTTGCTTGTGAGGTACTAGGCACTGGTGATTGTTGTTGTGGCAGAAGAGGTCGTGTGTCAGATATCAAGGAAGAGGTTGAGGAAAGGTGAGAGAGATCATTTGAGGATGACGCTGCGGATGTGGGGTCGTAGGAGTTCGCTGCGATAGAGTGATGATTATGAGAGTTTGATTCTCGACTTGATGCAAGGTATGAGTGTGATGACAATGTAGGGGCTGATGGTGTCGAGGTACCAGAAGGCAATGTTGGGAGCTCGGAGAATTGAATTCTTCTTTCAACAACGGCAGTTGCACTACGAATGGATACAGCTGAATCGAGTGGTTGAACGGTGACTTGCAAAGAAACGATGTCGAGGGGGCCAACGGGTTTAGTGGGCAGTATAATACGATAACGCAGTGAAGGACCTCTCGACTTGGTGGTTAGGGAGGATAGATAAGATGTTGGGGGCGGGGTTACTGGAGAGGGAGGAGACGCATTCCCTGGTAAGTCATGGCGGATCAAATAGAGATCGTAATGTTTAAGCAAGCGAGAACCGACGCCCGGAATGGGAGCGTGATTGACGACTGAACGACGTAAGACACGAGTTATTGAATGCCTGAAATCACATACCGGCCTCGATTCGCCAACATATCCGATACTCTTGAAAGTAAAGAGCCGTACTTGGTCCAGCAGTATGAGCTGGGATGGTTAGTCGGAATGGGTGTTCCACATTTCCAATTTCCGCCCAATCTTGATTGTCTGGTTTCCTCCATAACGTGACGGAGTGCTCTACCAAAATCTTGGATTGTACTGTCCCTAATCGGCCGTGACGAAATTCATAACACCGAACAAAGACTGTTATATCTTTGGCAGGGAGATGTTTTCCATCCTGCTCGATTTCGGTGCGGACGACTGAGTGTATGCGTATGAGAGGACGATATGAATTGACGAGAAGATATACGGACCTCCTTCGAACTTGACAGGTGTTAAGCCGAGGTAGCCACTGCAGGGAAAGAAACGAACGCCATGGTTGCCTTTGGGAGAGGAAAGTGTAAGCTTCACCATGAAGGGCGATTGGGACGACGTTGAGACTGGCGGTGATGTTGACGTTGTCGGTGAGTACGACGACGAGCAAAAGAGTGAAAGAAAAGAGAGTGATGGAGGAAGAATTTAAAGACGCCCAGAAGCAATTGGGATAAATAAGTGGCCAATAATTGGTACCAAGAATATTCATGACAGCGAGCGAGAAGCAAGAGCATCGCGACACGATCTCCCGATCTTTGATCCAGATCTATTCATCTACGGGGCAACCGGCGTTGAATATAGTATTGTCACGCCGGCTACTTGTCACGCGGCCAACGCCCTTTCGCCTCTTGCTTCGACTACCACAACCCAACGATGCCTTCGTCATTCTATGTTCCCATTCTCCTTGCGGGTATGATAATTACGGTGTGTCATCATGCTCTGAATCTTCATCAACTCATGCTTTGTAGGGTTCGAGTAATTCTTTGTGGAGCAAATGGCAGGTATGTTCAGCCTCGCGTTCAGAGACACGGGCAGAATTCACCAATAGAGTAGGACATGCAATGCGTGGAGAATTGTAGCGATCCAAACCCTGCAAACCACGTTCTTTACGAGCAGCCCGTATGGCAAAGTCTCCAGATGTTCCGTCCGTAGCTTTTATGTTCATTGCTACCACGTTCTACGCTAACAATCCGTGCTAGTCGGCGAAATGCTTTGTCAGTTTCACTTTCTTCCCAATTGGCAATCTTCCGTTTATTCATACATCATCTAGGCTTTCTCCCCGTCATTTATACGTGGCTTCGTGCACGTCAGCGTACTGCACCCGTATTTCTTCCTTCAGATTCAGAAGAAGACGTTCATGAATCCGGTAAAGTCGAGGAAACCTGTCGAGAGCTACGAGGCTGGAACATTCTTCTTTTGTGGTTTCCCGCTGCCTGCGATCTCACCGGAACAACGGTCCGTCGGTCTTCTATATTTCCTTTTGGCCCCGTCTTGATAACAACTTTCCATTCGAACAGCTTATGAACGTCGGTCTCCTCTATACCCCCGTGTCAATCTATCAGATGACACGTGGAGCTCTCGTTCTTTTTGTGGGCATCCTTAGCGTCATCTTTTTACACCGTCGTTTATGGCTTTATCAGTACGTCCTCCCCCGTTCTTCCATTGGATAGTTCTGAATTATCCATAGATGGGCCTCTCTCTTGACAGTCATGGCCGGTATTTTGCTGGTAGGATACAGCGGTTCGCTTATCAAAGACGTTGTACAATCCACCTTGAATCTCTTGGGTTCTGACCAGCCAGAGCCTGAAGTCACCAAGGTCCTCGTTGGTAGGCATCTTATCACTTTTTATAGGAGCCCATACTCACCATACATAGGCGTCTTCTTCATTCTCTTCGCCCAGGTGTTGTAAGTATTTCAACATTCTTTACTTCAGCGGCTAAGAATAGCTGCCGTCTAGTACGGCAACACAGTTCGTCGTAGAAGAGAAGATCATGGCCCGTTATTCCGTGGCACCTTTGGTTGCTGTGGGCTACGAGGGTTTATTCGGCGCCCTCACCATCATCATGTGCATGCCCATTCTGGCTATGCCGTCAATCGCTTCTAGCTCGCCTTTCTTCGACCTTCCTAGGGGTTGGTACCAATTAGTCTACACGCCTAGTGTCCTTTGGTCAGGGATCGCTATCGCGATAAGTATCTCCTTGTTTAATTACTTCGGCTTGAGCGTCACAAGGCATGTGAGCGCCACGGCGAGGAGCTTGGCCGATACATGCAGAACACTCTCGATCTGGCTAGTCAGCCTTGGACTAGGCTGGGAGAAGCTTCTTTTCCCCATTTCCCTCCTCCAAGTAGTGGGATTCTCCCTCCTGGTGTAAGGAAGTCTTTCATACAGCTATTACGTGGTGCTCACGAGTCTTTCATGTTCTAGGTATGGCACGGTACGTCATTACTCGCGTTTTAATGGTAGTTATTGTTTAACGTGGTCTTCTAGTTCCTTTTCAATGGTTTGGTCAACCCTCCCTCTTTCCTCCACCCGCCCTTAGTCCTAGAGGATACGGTAGGTGGCGAAGCGGAAGAAGGGGAAGCCTTGCTCGCATCACAACATCTGGACGATACTGCTGCTCTGCCTGTTGACCTTGGTCAAAGCGGTTACGATGTTTTGCCGAAAGATGTCCGAGTTCATGCGCAAGGACTTTCGTCAGCAGAAGATTGAGGCCTGAGGATCCACCTACATGCTACTTACATTTAATACATTGATCCGTGGACATATGCTGATGCGGACGCCACAATTGATGCGCACCACCGTTTATTAAATTTCACGCCGTCCACGGACCCGCATGTGAACAAAAACCCTGGCACCACATGGTGCTCTCTAGGGATGAGACACGATGCATTTTTTGGAGAACAAGGTCAAGCAAACCTGCTGCCTTTCAAGAATATTTCGAGTCTCGCAGTTCCCCGAATAAGCCGTCTCTGAAGTAGTAGTAGCGTGCTTTTGTGTCGAGAACCAAGCGGCGAATTTCGGCAATTTGCATGTTCTTCTTTCATATCAGGTGGATGCTGTAGACTGGATATAGACTGGCTTCCACAGGTTCTTCCACCGACACGAGGCAGAACGCTAACCTATAAGTATGGCGGAGTCAATGCTTCTCGGAGGTACGGGCGCGAACAGAAAGTTCACCATTTGACTCGAACCACTACATACTTTGGCAAACTTTATTATTCATTCCAAACAGGCTCGAATCACTTCATCGACGCTGTGTGCACGCGGCGCATGCACAAAGCTGCCGAACTTGAAATCGTGCTAACCACTGGCAGCGACTGAGTATGTGTATATATATACGTACTTCCTTAGGAGGTTTACTCGGAGTTGTGCTCAATTCGTGAGTATGGGTGCAGAATCTAGACTTGCCCGTTGTTTACATACTGCGATAAGTATGTGCGAACCGAACCAAAAAGTTATTTACATGTTGCAAGGTGGTACGCTCCAATGAAACGTGTCTTAAATTGGCGATCATCGTAGGTCCGAAAGTCGCATAGCTAATTTGGTTCATGTTTCAACCGCCAGCGAAACATGATTCACGTTGCCCCGGCTGCTAAAATCTTTTGAGTGAGAAGACAAACCCGATGGAGGATGCTAAGCATGCTTACGGAGTGTGTCACAGCTTGGAGACTCCACATACGGTCATTCGGAAGACTCGCTTGTCGCTGTCGCTCAGAAGGCCTACAGCTTCTAAATTCTCGATGTTCCAGCCAATCATCGATTTCGTAATGACCAGAGCTTTCAATTGCTGTGCGATGTCTAATATCATCTCATCGCTGCGGAAGAAAAGATGTTCATATTAACGTTAGCCATTCCATCGGAAAATGAAAATGACTCCGCACCTCGCAGACGCTTGGATCCAAACGCAGAAGTCATCAACCCAGATTTTGTTATACACGTAATATACTTCATGATGGTCCAAAACATGTTTCATCTCCAATAAGCAACGTGTGACCATCCTTCTTCCCTTCGCCAAAATGGCTGCTACATCATTCCGACAAGCATCGGCCATTGCAAAAGAGCGATAGAGAGGGAACGCAAGAGAACGCCGATAAGACGGCATCAAAGATGAAGCGAGATCGTGATCGGTGAACCCAGACGTGGGGATAGACAGAGAAATACTTTTTGAAGATACGTATGGAGGGGGATCCAGCGCCGAGAATGCAGGTATGAGTGAACAGATCGTCCAAGCGCTTTCAGGAGTAGGGTCGTGCTGTGTCGTGCGCCTGTCATAGGCGTATGCGAATAACAGGGTCAACAGTGTCAGATACAGGTTTCGCTGCTGTGATTTTGTTGGCAAGTCTGTCGTAATGTTATCAATGTCAGTATGAAATAAAGCGGAAATACCGCTTACATTCTTTGCGCGGTAAATCGAGCATCGTCATATTCTCGCTCTCGGTGAATATACATTCAGCATCTTTGAGCCCGGGATCTTCCCAGGCAAGAAGTTCTTGAATATACTCATCATCCATGTAGTCTGCCCTGCAGGAGGAGGCGAATGAGCGTTCAGATTGATGTCTTGTTTAGGGATCATACATATAATGCTCCTCATCCCATTTCATCTCTTCATGTTGCAATCTTTTCGCTCGTCGTTCTTCTGGTAAACAGCTCTCAGCTTCAATCCCAAGTTCATTGACATCATTTTCTGTGTGAGCAACGTGGGTGAAGTACCCCGTGTACATGTCCAAGAACCCATAGTATCTTTTTGTGGATAGTTGTAATGGAGAAGAGGATTCTGCGACAGTCTGGGGAAACTGCCAGTCATTTTCAGCGGCTGGAAGTGATGTGAGGATGTTTGTTGAAGTGTGAAGTCATCGCACGCACCTTGCAATATTTCCCGCTGTTCGAGCGAGATTGCATCAGTTAAATATACAAGTTCTTCCAGCTCGCTTTGTGATGAAGTCTCAGACTCGATGACTTCTATTGTCGGTTTTTTTGGAACTTCGACATGACGAGGAGCCAGTAGCTTTGCCAGTAAGTCCAAGTCAGGGAATTCCTGTCCTTTCACCTCTTTAGTCAGTGTGACCGTTAAATATCCACTGCTTGGATCATAGGTTGCAGAGGATTGGTCGTCCTCGAGGACCGAATGAGGAAAGTTGATACGAAGGAAATAAGGATTGATATGAACGGTCAACAAGGTTTCATCGACGTTGATCTCCACATCAGAGGCCTACTTCGAGAATAACATTGATCAGGCTTGGGAACACAAGTGCTGCGCAAACGTACTCTTATTGATGGGCAATAGATTGATACTGCCACTGCTTCAAGAGTTTGGGTACAGTAAAATCGCGGAGTTATCATGTTGTAACGACCTCGAAGACCGAAATGGCGATGGCTGTTCAGGCCTTAGGTTTCGTGAAAGACCTAGCGAATATATCCGATTCTAGGATTAATTGGTCTAGACGGAACGACTAGATTTGATGCGATGTTGCAGCAGTTTGTATGATGGAATCAAAACAAGTTTCAGAGTCATTCCGAGTCAGTGCCACGTCGGATCAAATACTACTTATACTCGCGCTAATTGGTGGATGTTCCAATCACTATATCCCTCGAGACGAAAATGGACCCTCAGGTAGTCTTTGTTAGACGTTGCGTACTGGGCTTAGGCGCTGATGTTATTTGCTTGTAGAAATTTACAGCATGTCCTTCGCTCGCCGCTGTAGAACAGCTCATCATTCGCGAGAAGCGAGGCAACTGCGTCCCGATATTTATTCAGCTTCCTGCAGATCTTATCACACCATGCATGGCGTATCTCCGAGTAGCCAAAGACTCCAAGTACAGCTTCCTGCTGGAGTCAGTTATTGCGGGGGAGAACATAGCCAGATACAGTTTCGTCGGCGCAGGTAGGATGCCCGCCCGATGTTACTGGTTTTTAATGTCATTTTTGCGTTAGACCCACTGAAGGTCATCAAAACTGGACCGAACGAGGAGTTTCAGGGAGATCCACTTATTGCTCTACAACGGGAGCTCGCCGTTCACGAATATGTGAAAATTCCTGAAATTCCGACCTTCACCGGAGGCGCGATCGGATACGTGTCCTATGACTGTATACAGTATTTTGAGCCCAAGACTGCTCGAGAACTCAGTGATCCTTTGTCTATCCCAGAGTCTTTGTTTATGCTTTGCGACACCCTCCTCATTTACGATCACTTATTCCAGTCTATCAAGATCGTTTCCCATGTCTTCTATCCAAAGGACGCCGGAGCCACAAACCTTCCTTTCGTATATCAAACTGCTCAATCAAAAATCCGTCGGCTAGCAAAAGTACTTCTGAGTCACACAACTCCCGAAGTCCCGCAGCCTCCAATTACATTAGGAAACCAAGCCACATCTAACATAGGCAAGGAAGGCTACGAGTCATTTGTAACCAAGCTCAAAGAGCACATTGTTGCTGGTGATATCATCCAAGCAGTTCCGTCTCAACGCCTTTCCCGTCCAACAAATTTACACCCTTTTAATGCATATAGACATCTTCGTCAAGTCAACCCTAGCCCCTATATGTTTTATTTGGATTGCGGAGAGCTACAGATAGTCGGCGCCAGTCCAGAAACTCTTTGTAAAGTGGAAGCAAACAAGGTCTATAACCATGCCATTGCTGGGACCGTCAAAAGAGGAAAGACTCCAGCAGGTTAGTCTTCATGTCTTCGCGGGGAAAGCCACCTTGACTCCTTTGGCAGAAGACGACAAGCTTGGCAAACAGCTTGTTTCATCTGAGAAGGACCGAGCGGAACACATCATGCTTGTTGATCTTGCCAGAAACGACGTCAATCGGGTTTGCAAGCCGGAAACCGTGAAAGTCGATCATCTTATGGCGGTACAGAAATTCAGCCACGTCATTCATTTGACATCCCAAGTTTCGGGAATGCTGAGGGAAGGGTTGTCGAGGTATCTTACCGATATGATCGTGTTCTCTGCACCTGCCAACAATTTTCAACAGGTTCGATGCTTTCCGCTCCATATTCCCCGCGGGAACTGTATCGGGAGCTCCTAAGATCAAAGCCATCGAACTGGTTGCCGAACTAGAGGGTGAACGGAGGGGAGTTTATGCCGGTGCCGTCGGACGTTTCGACTTCGCTAATGACGAAATGGACACATGTATTGCCATTCGTACAATGACATTCAAGGACGGAGTTGCCTATTTGCAGGCGGGAGGCGGCATCGTTTTTGACAGTGTGGAAGAAGAGGAGTATGTAGAAACCATCAACAAACTGGGGGGCAATCTACGAGCACTGACTGATGCAGAGAGTAAGTTTTGTCACTAAATTATGTTGTTGCGTTTACTGAAGGAGGAAATAGAATACTGGAGTGAGGTTCAAGCGTCACATCCATTACAACGCTGATGGCATATAGTAAACTAATGTCTGTCTGCTACGTACCGTGTAGTACCTCGTTCATGAGCACGCATGTATCTAGATTGTCGTAGCTCTTTATTCTGTTCTTCTCTGTCTCGCAAAACTTTCCCTTCTCTTCCAGCTATGCTGAGAACACCTGCAATTAACTCTGCCGTTCGAGGGCTCTCGTCATTCGCAGGAATAGCATACATGACCACGCGAGGATCGACGTTCGAGTCGACAATGCCGATAGTAGGAATATGTTGTATCGCACATTCGCGGATAGCATGGATATTTGCCAGAGGATTTAGGAAGATGACTAGGTCGGGTGTGACACGTTGCCTTTTTGCGACGTCAGACCCAAACAGCTGCTGTTTGTTCGTAAGTGTGCCGGGCAGCCATCTTTCGCCAACATGAAAAGCCTGTGGTCCAATCCTCTCTGCGGCTTTGCGCACAACAGCACGCAGATCTGGACGAGTGCCCACGAAGACAACTGTGCCGTCCCTTGCAACGACAGCGCGAGTGAGGTTCGCGGCCCTCCGCAACAGTGGGAGAGTCGAGTCGAGGTCAATTATGGTGATGCCAGCGCGGACACCGTACGCGTAGGGCATGAAATTCGGGTTGAGCAAGGATTTAGCATGCCCAAAATGTGCACCAGCAGCTATTAGTGCGGATAATGTTGCTTCAGACGGAGCGAGAGGCCGGTGCAACTGGTGGTGGGGTTGGAAGGTGTTATCTCGCGTCACATTAGAGCCATGCTCGCTAAATAGATCGACTGCAGAGGAAGATGAGCAAAAGTTAGTCTCCTACACGAAGAAAAACACTGACCGAGCATTTTGAAACGTATCCGACGGTCTTGCAACAGCTGCCAATCATCTGGTGACTGCAGAGGAAATGGATGGTCACTGGAAGTGTATACATTTCGTCTATGTTGGAGAGCCGAAAACTGGCTTCTGCGCATGCATCTTGGGGCAGAAAGCCATGGTCTTAGACCTGCCTTGGTAGACATGTCGAAGAGTGGGTCGTGCTGGTGGCAGTGCAAAATTTGACACCAATGGTCAGAATGCTTACTTCAGCCGTGCAATCGATTTTTTTCGATTGCTCTTCTGCCCATCACCACCATCCGGCTTCACCTCTCTTTTACTTTTTGTATATCCCTTTAAAAAATGGAAGACGCATTTGACGGCGCTGTTGGCATCGATCTCGGCACTACCTACTCGTAAGCATACACGAAATTGCTGTCATCGCCATATTAACATCTTTTCTTAGCTGCGTGGGTGTATGGCAAAATGATCGAGTTGAAATCATCGCCAACGATCGTAAGTTTCTGTGCCGTACAACGAATTCGCACATTTATCTGTGTGGGTTCTACAGAGGGTAACCGGACAACTCCTTCATATGTCGCATTCTCTGCGGAGGAGCGTCTAATCGGTGATGCTGCAAAAAATCAGGCTGCTATGAACCCCCGCAACACAGTCTTTGATGCCAAGCGTCTCATCGGCCGTCGTTATGAGTGAGTGTGTCATGGAGTATCCTTCGATAACTTTAATAACATGCAAAAAATTAGTGATCCCGACGTGAAGAAGGTTAGTATAAGGATCTATAACTGAAAACGGGATGCTAAACATGTCACTCCAGGACATGACTCACTGGCCCTTTGAGGTAGTAGAAAAGGAGGGCTCACCTTTGATCAAGGTTAACTACCTTGGCGAGGAGAAGGTCTTCAGCCCCCAGGAGATCTCGTCAATGGTCCTCACTAAAATGAAAGAGATTTCGGAGGCAAAACTTGGCAAGACTGTCACCAGGGCCGTCGTCACGTGAGTTGTTCTTCTCGTATCATGTGTGAATTTATTCTGACGCGAATGAAGCGTTCCTGCCTACTTCAACGACTCGCAACGTTTGGCAACCAAAGACGCTGGTACCATCGCTGGCCTTGACGTTCTCCGTATCATTAACGAGCCCACTGCTGCTGCCATCGCGTATGGTTTGGATCGTCAATCAAAAGCGGAGAAAAACGTTTTGATCTTCGATCTTGGTGGAGGAACTTTCGATGTCTCGTTGCTCAACATCAGCGGTGGTGTCTTCGCAGTTAAGGCCACCGCAGGTGACACTCACTTGGGTGGTGAGGATTTCGACAACACCCTCTTGGATCACTTCAAGAATGAGTTCAAGAGGAAGACGAAGCACGATATCTCTGAGGATCCCCGTGCACTCAGACGACTCAGAAGTGCTTGCGAACGTGCCAAGCGCACCCTCTCTAGTGTCACCCAGACCACCGTTGAGGTCGATTCGCTGTACCAGGTTAGCATGTCATGCGTGAACTCGATGTTGGATTTTATCTGATATATTCACAACCAGGGTGAAGACTTCTCTGCCAACATCACTCGTGCCCGTTTCGAGGAGATCAATGCCGCTATGTTTAAATCGACCATTGAGCCCGTCGAGAAGGTGCTCAAGGATGCCAAGATGCCTCGTGAGAAAGTCGATGACATTGTCCTCGTTGGTGGATCCACTCGTATTCCCAAAATCCAATCTCTAGTATCGGAGTACTTCGGTGGACGCCAGCTGAACAAGTCGATTAACCCCGATGAGGCTGTTGCCTACGGTGCCGCTGTGCAGGCTGCTGTTCTCACTGGCCAGACCTCAGAAAAGACTGCGGACCTTCTTCTTCTTGACGTGGCTCCTCTCTCGCTTGGTGTTGCTATGCAGGGTGATGTCTTTGGTGTTGTTGTCCCCCGTAACACTCCCATTCCCACCAACAAGTCGCGGACATTCACGACTGTTGAAGACAACCAGACGACTGTCACCTTCCCTGTGTAAGGCGCACCGTTCATATATAACCTAACGTTACACTGACGTCTTGATCTCCAGGTATGAGGGTGAACGCACTCAGTGCCGCGATAACCGTCTGCTTGGTGAATTCGAGCTGACCGGTATTCCTCCTATGCCTCGTGGACAGGCCGAGCTTGTTACCACCTTCGAGGTTGATGCCAACGGTCTCCTCAAGGTCTCCGCACAAGACCGAGCTTCTGGCCGCAAGGCATCCATCAGTCAGTGGCGGTCTTCAAGTTTTTTTCTGCAGCTGACACTTCTGTTCAGGCATCACCAACTCCGTTGGTCGTTTATCGTCGGCCGAGATCGACCAGATGATCAAGGACGCTGAGCAATACAAGCAGGCTGACAAGGAGTTCTCTTCACGTCATGAGGCGAAATCCGACCTCGAGGCTTACATCCACCAGGTCGAAGGCACTATAACCTCGCCTGAGATTGGTATGAAGCTTAAGCGTGGTGCTAAGTCTCAGGTTGAGACTGAGCTTGCCCGTGCGCTCGAAAAGCTCGAGATTGAGGAATCGACAGCAGATGAGTTGAGGAAGTCGCAGCTTGCCATCAAGCGGGCACTTCAAAAGGCAACTGCTGGTATCCGGTAAACGATAATGATTTTATGCGTAGTATGCAAGATAGAGCAGCGTACTATTTCCATGATGTTGTGTCTGCTGTTCTCCCTGTTTGCATACCAAAATTTGGCGTTATTCGCAATGGCATTTCTTTTGCTTTCGCACTGCATTATGTCTGAGACTGGTGTAAGGGAAGGGTTTTGTAACCCTGCTGAGGTAATATAGAGGAGATTTTTGTTCTTCGTATTACTATTCTGGGACACGTACCGGATTTTGTATCTTGACAAATTGAGGAAAAATACATCGAGATGGCCACAGTAACAAGCACCAAAAGGGCGAGACTTGCGAGCTCGCCAAAAGAAAAGAAGAAAGTAAAACCGGTCGCCCAAAGCGATCACCATCCAGTGTCCTCCACTAAGGGCAAGCAAAAAGCGAAACAATCTACGAAACCTGTCTCAGATGACATTGCTCTCCCAACCTCCTTCAAGGTAATCGCTGGCTCGTATGAAAAACTGCTATATGGCTTGGATGGATCTGTCTCGCTCGATGAGACCAACGATGGCTACAAGTTCGAGCTGAAACCTATTTTTATATTCCCCGCACATGTATCGTGCATCAAGGCCGTCGCCGCATCTCCGAATGGGGGGAAATGGCTTGCTACTGGGAGTGCAGATGAGGTCATAAAGGTCTGGGATTTGCGTAGAAAAAAAGAGATCGGCGGGCTTATGCACCACGAAGGTAGATTATAGCGCTTTATACATCTGTCTCTTGACAAATTGTTGCGACAGGATCCATAACACAACTTCAATTTCCCTCCCGCTCACATCTTCTCTCAGCGTCTGAAGACGGTTCATTATGCCTTTTTCATGCACGCGACTGGGTTGTGCTTCGCACCCTCAAAGGTCATAAGGGACGAGTCAATTCTACAGCGGTGCATCCGTCAAATAAAGTCGCGCTAAGCGTAGGAAAAGACAATACGCTGCGCATGTGGGATCTCATGCGGGGACGGGGATCTGCGAGCACAAAGCTGGGGAAAGGTAAGTGTTTGTTTCCCTAGGCCCCGGATTCATTTCTCACTTCATTTGGTGGTTTAGAGGGAGAAGTCGTGCGGTGGTCAGCGACAGGCTCGTCATTCGTCGTGCAATCTCAAAACACGATCGATTTATTCACAGTCGTAAGTGCATATCATGACTTTTCTCTATATTTGTAAATTCAATTTGATCGCACTTAGGACATGGTTCTTCGCCACACAATCACGCATCCATCCCGAATACATACAATTCGGTTTAGTAAACGAGTGAACGGCTCCGGAGAATTATTACTTGTTGGCGCAGAAGACAAGAAATTGTCGATCTACGACATTCCAGATGACCCAGAAAAAATACCCACTGTAATTGCAGAAATGACTGGACACTCCAATCGGTACGTACAATGCACTTGTTAGGATTTTGTTTTTACCGTCTTTTTTTAGTGTAAAAGCGGTCGAGATTCTTCCTCTCGCACTACCTAAATCAACGAAGGCAAAAGCGCCCCTCTCGACTATCATCCTGTGCACCGTCTCATCTGATGGTAAAATTCACGTTCACGACCTGGCTTTGCTGCCCGCCGACCAAAGAGCCGGAAGTGAAATGCTGCAGATACCACCTGTGGCTGAGTACGATACAAAAGGCACGCGGCTGACGTGTGTGACCATCGCGGATGGCGAGGCTCCCGAGCATTCCAAGAGTGTGAATGGGAAGCGGAAACGGGAAGATGAAGACAGCGAACAGGAAGAAGAGGATGAAGGATGGGGAGCTCATGAACAAGAAACAGAGCATGATGACAGTGGGTGAGGTCGAGTTTTGGTAGGTTCACTGTTATCGTAGACTTGGCTGCTATAAGCTTTCTTACTGGCATGAGTCCAACCTCGTGTTACCACTCATTCGGAGTAGCATAGTGCCTACTACATTCACGTGCATTAAAATTTGAGTATGATATGATCATCAAGACAATTAACCAATAGATCCTTCATACTGTGTGACCTAGTCCGCCCAGGATGTCGAGCGCCAAGTGAGTTGCAGGCCAATAAATGACCTGCAAAGTGAGAAGGAGTGGATATGACAAGCATTTATTGATGCGGCTGATGAAGCAGGGAACAACAGACAATAGGCATGATACATCAAAAAGTAGAGATGTCCAGACTTGGTAAAATCATTGCACTGATGGATCCAAGGCAGGTAAATGTTTGGAAGATGTCGCGGCTGCAAATGCGGAAGGTATGCGACCGTCATCTTGAGCGAGCCTTGGTGATTGTAGACTCGATATGGTCAATGCTACCATACCACTACATTGAAGGGCAAACTCAGATGCTGTTGATAAGCAATGAAATTCACATTATATATGAATCATTTCTACTAGAACGTCATGATGTGGTAACTGCTTTGTGAATGCGAAGCCCAACCTCGAGTACCCATAGTTCTTCGTCAGCACCGTCACACAGAGCCTTATCGGCCTCTGCAAAAGCGAGAGCACACTTTGCTTTTTGTCGTGCAGGTAGTGTCGGATGCAGAATGATAGTGTCATGAAGCTACAGTGATGTTAGATAAGTTCAGTTGCTGTGACGAATCACTAACCTGTGAGAGGGTTTGTGATGCTGAGTATCCTTCTCGCATGATGCTCTTGACCTTTTTCTGGACGGCATTGAAGCCCTTCAGTTTCTTATTTGCAGGCAAGTCATCAACATCCATGTCCCCGACTACGGAAACGCCGAGAGTCCTCGCAAAATCGTTTATAACAGCAGTTGGCACAACACCTGCTATCTCCTGGATATCGTAAGGCGTGATTGGCACCGGGGGGTCGGTGGAGGAAGATAATCGAGATGCAGATTGCAAGTATGTGATGGAACGACGGAGGTCACCACCAGAGGTCTCGATGAGGGTAGAAATGACCTCGGGATCCACGTTAATATTTTCTGCACTTGCGATATAAGAGAGTCGGGCTGAGGTGGATGTCGAATCAAGAGGAGTAAAACGAAACTTTGAACATCGAGACGCGAGAGGTTCGATTATTCTTGTAGTAGTCAGTGACTGCAAGGAGAAAAAGGAGTGCTCTCACCTTGTCACATAATTACAAACAAGACAGAAACGAGTTATCCGGGCGTAGGTCTCCATTATCCGCCGTAATGCACCTTGCGCATCTTGCGTCATTGAATCTGCTTCGTCGAGAATGATAATTTTGTATGGTGGACAGGGATAGACATTCCCATCTGATGCCACTGCCTGTGCTCGGGGTGTTTGACGGGCAAACGATTTGATTTTCTCTCTGACTATACTGATACCTCTCTCGTCTGATGCATTGAGCTCTAGGACTCGATTTCGAAAGTTATCAGGTCTGGAAAAACAGTGAGTTTGGGCAAATCAGAATGAAATCAGCCGCACCCAAAGAGTTGCCTTGCAAGCGCAAGGATGGTAGATGTTTTACCAGTCCCGGGAGGTCCATAGAACAACATGTGAGGGAGCTACTTTGCATGAGGATGAGCCACGCATGACTTAGAAGGGCTTGCATACATTGGTCGAGACTAGCGTTTTCCGCAGTACTGCTACTGTATGCTCTTGTGCTGAGATATCATCTATGGTCTTTGGTCGACTGCATGTGATGAGAGAAACTTCGCATAGAACAAAACGAACACGCTAACTATTTTTCTACCCATGGTTGATGTTCTGGGTCTAAAGAATGTTTCGATGCTGTTGATGTCGACTTTGCTTGAAAAAATGCCATCCTTGAACAACCTTTCAATTGATGTTGGGTCTTCACGCGACACGAATCGCGTCGGGAACGCGTGACTGTCACGTCACGAACACGACTCGGCAAAAGATTTCCCACGTAACAATAGGTCACAATCATCCATCCACGACGCGACTGGCTAGAGGCGCGCTTTTTTCGTTCCCGACTACTTGGTAGTTTTAATCATTCCGCACAATGGGAGATACAGAGCCAAAGGGTAGGTCTTGCGCAAAATGTTATACGTTATAGCTGAAATCGCTATCAGATACTTCCAGTGCATCAATACCTACTGGTGAGCAGTCGACCAGCATTCTATCCCGCATGCACTCATCCGGACGCGTCATATTGTTATATAATAGCAAAGAAACCTCTCGCTGAGTTGAAAAATGGCAAAGTTATCTTCAAGCAGAAGCCCATATCATTTGAGAAGTCGTCAGAAGCGATGCAAGGTCTGTCCTCCTCCCGTTTCGAGAGCGCTCAATCTAAGATCTCTGTTGCATAGAAATTGTCCAGTTCCGGGAGATGATTGAGCAGCGAATTGCTAGGCAGGACCCCCCACTTACTGCTATTCCAGACGAACATAGACCGCTGATAGTGAAGCTTGCGCAAGAGAGGTGAGCTTGGAACACAACAACCGACGTAGGATGTTACCGACCTCTTTATCTAGTGAGAAGAGTGTCACTCCGCTTGCGAAGCATATCCGCTCAGAACTTCTTCCATCTTTCGATGAGGACGATGACTCTTCGCGCGAAAGTATATCACTTGCTTTGCCTCTTCTTGTGGTAGAGCACGCCATTCAGTCGCTCATGGTCAGAATGAATTATGGCCTGGATGGGCCATTAGGATACAAAATCCCTTCTGTTGTGTGTGTTTGGCGATGGGAGGTCAGAGACGACTATAGGGATTGGCTACCCAAGTCTGCCAAAGAGAAGGCTGAGACAAGAATAGCTGAACGTGTCCAGGTATGTATTATTCTGAATTTAAATGTCTTCCCTGACATTTCTTTTAGGCCAAGGCAGAGCTTCTCGCAATCTTCGAAAGTCTACCGCAGGACGAGCGGGATGCTATCCTCGACCCGAAAGGTACTAACAAACTCCCCACTAAAGACATCAATAAACCCAATCCCCCGAGCAATACAACTACTGAACAGGTTGATGCAGCAGAGCTCAAGGGCTCGTCATCCCAACGTGATCCAAGCGTCAGTGCCAACGAACTCGAAAACATTGATGTATGTTCTCCTCTCCTTTTGCCCACATCACCGACTCACTACAAACTTGGGTAGTCCGGGAGTGGAACTCCAAAAGCTCGACAGCGAAAAGTTATAGATGCAGAGAAAGCCGCGAAGGTACGCTAGCCTCCTACGTAGTAATTCTATTCAGTTAATGTTGTCATTCCAGGTCAAAGAGAAGGAAGAAAGGAAGGCAGCCAAGGTTGAAAAAGAGAAGAAGCAAAAGGCGACCCAGGACAAATCTCGGTCTCTTATGGCTAACTTCTTCGGCAAGGCCAAGGCTCCTCCCCGCGAGTCGCCTTCAAAACCCGTTTGTGGGACTTCCACTAGTGAATCAGATTTTCAGAAGACGTTTAGGCCTTTTGTCTTGAAGAAAGGCGCAGAAATGGCACCGGTGAACTGGTTCTTAGAGTCTAGCAAACCAGCTTGGAAGAAGCAGACCTCAGGTTTCAGCCATGCAGACGCAATCGTCGTCGATGATGCTCAAGGCTCGGAGATGAATGACATTGATATATTTGTAAATACCACACCAGCATTCAATCATGTCGAAGCTAATGCACAAGGTGCGTACATCGAAGCACGCCAGTCCAGTCATTGATATCATACACAGAGCGCCTCCAGGATGTTATACGGTTGTTGCGACCGCTTCGGCTCACACAGCCCTGCGACCGATCGAAATCCTACTTCAAATCCTTCAGCCCGTGTAGTACGAAAGATATATATTCCCAGCTCAATGATGCTGAAATAGCTGGGGATACATCTCAAGCTCGCTACTTGTCAAACATTCTTAGGGACAGGAGGATGCTTCCAGCGAAGGTCTTGATTTTCCATGAGGATGCGCGTCCTGGATACTATGGTTCCTGGACGAAGAACTCGCGCATTGTTGGTCCTAGATCACCCTTCGCTCGTGATCTGCTTGTCCGAGATTACGGATACGATTCCGGAGAGGAATGGGAAGATGAAGGCGCAGCAGATGCGGACAATGTTGACGACGACGACGATGAGGAGGGTGACGGGGAGGAGAATGATTCTGATCTGGAAAGCTGGCTAGTGGATGATGATGAGATTGAAGAAGTTGTTCCGGATGACCGGGACCTATCACCTTCACTCTCGGACATACCACTTCCCCCTCCCAAGAGGAAAGCAGAGCCTCTTAGCAAGCAGCCTGAAAAGAAGCGGAAGATCGTGGTCCCTCTCGTCCCCTATGTCAAAGGTCCTCTGTGGGAGTCGGTCATAGGCCAATGTGAATATGATCCTTTCAAACCATACCGCATACAGTTATTTAATGGTACGTTTTTCATGGGTTCACTAAACCCTTTCTGATCGTCTGCTACAGATATACCATACCCAATCGACCCCTTTAGATTCGTTGCAAAGACTGCCGAAGAATTTCGGCAATCAGATTACGAGTCGAAGTTCGCGGTTCCCTCCCTACCCAATCGGCTATCAGGAAACAGCGGCATTGCAGAGTCATCAGCTTCTCCTGCTCAGGCTTCAGCAAACAAGCGTGCTATCCCAGCATCCACGCCGAAGACCACATTCCCCGATGCACATGTCCCTCTGCTTATCAGCAAGATCACGACTTTGGCGACGGCAAACCTTACATTCATCGTAGAAAGCGTTCACCAGGAGCTTCGTGCACATAAGGTGAAGAAGAATGCTATTGAGGCAAAGGTCCGAGAGGTGGCAGAAAAGTCCAAGGAGAAGAAAATATGGGTTATCAGCGAAGGGCAACACTCACGAACGTCGATTCCCTCTTAATATAATACCTGAACGTTGAACCACCATTTTAAGTGCTCGTGGTTTTGATTGCTTCGGATGAAACCTTCTGTTTCATACAGTAGATTAGGGTGATTCAGAATTGTAGCGCCAGCTGCGTTCTATGTAGATATATCCTGTGCATCAAATTGGACCTTCTCATGAGTGACCAGCATTCCGTAGTTTATTAGTATCAAAGCTGACATCGGGAGGGACCACAAGAAAATAAATATACGTATTAGTCCACAGCATGCATAATAACAGATAAGATATCCTTCAGATTATCATCATCATGAGCTTGCCAGCTTCCAAAGCTGAGCGGCATCATCAAAATCTGATTTACTTTCATCGGACGGGAAGGAGTAGATGTCATTAGATTCGCCGCCTAAGCCAGGTATTAGAGCTTCCAAAAAGAAACTCAAATTGAATACACTCACGCACAAGCATCTTGGTCACTCGCCCGTCCTTGTCGACAACGGGTTCGAACCCCAACCCTCTGTAGATCTTCAAGCGCAATCTAGAGAAGCAAGACAGTCAATAGCCTCTCATGTCGTACGGCATGGTACTCACGCAGAGCCATCTAGCTGAGCCTGGTGATCCTTGGCAGGATCTGATTCCTCTAGTGAACGTGCTTGCTCTTTCAGGGCTGCCAGCTCAGCCTCTTTACTAGCTAGAGAGCCCTCCGCGTCGCGGATAGCCTTAGCTAGGGACAGCCTGGACCCGTCAAGTTCATTGAGATTGGATGCGTGCTTTTCCAAAGAGGGCACGTTCGGCGGTCGCATCGAGGATTTCTTGGCAGCGTCTAAGACACGAGACAAGGCTTGGGAATAGGATGAAGGTGATCACTGGCAAGTCAAGATGTAGATATCTCCATACCTTTCAGATCCGCATACGCCTCTTCGTTCTCTTTCTTTCCTCGGGCATAATTGATCTTCATTTGCTCTTCAGCTGCGGTTATTGTGAGGTAGTCATCCGCGGGATCGATAATGCTTGTCATCTCCCGGATTAATTTACTGTAATGGATTGTTCAAGATTAGGGCGTCAATGTGGATGAAACAGGAGATGGTTTCATTCGCGCACATGCATTCTTGTAGCTGAGGATCTTTTGACTGAAGGTCCCTCGCCATCGCGTGATAGTAGTTAACAGAGTCAAATATATTGTGCCACAACCGCGTCACGGTCATGTGAAACTCACGTGCAATAAGAATTACTGAGTAAGTACTGAGTGAGTGGTGATTACAATCCATCCCGTACTCGCGATTATCTACTTGATCTTCCAATATACAATACTGTTACCGTACCCTGCGACTGCACACTGCTCGACCTCGACTCTCTTCTTCCATACGTTACCAGCAATGTCCCTCACCAAAGTTTTTCGTTGACCCAGGATAAATCGACCGCCTTCAGGATGCTCCAAGGTAGTGGGCACAGGAAGACTACTTCTCCTACCCGTACCAAGTTGATAGTCGTGATTTGTTCCCCAGGCGACCAGATCCCGACCCGAGCCACCGGGCCCTCCATGTGCTTGTGTATCCAAAGTTAGTAGAACATGACCGGTGGGAGACACCGAGATAGCGTGAGGAAGGATGGGAGACATGGTCTGGCTGGCTTCGTTATCTACAAGGGGCTTATGAGTACATATAAGGTTGTAATAATGAGTGCTGACATTCCCGGAGACCGCTGACATTCTTTGCGCGGACAGGGTTCCCCTGAGCGTTCGAATATAAGTTGTTCCCTAGTCCTCCCCATTGTCCGTTACCACAGGTCAGAATGTCCACATATGCAAGGGATTCGCCATCTGTACGTTCGGCGACGAAACATGTCAGATCACCACCTGTGCAATGATTTCAGTTATAGCAGCAAAAGACCTGGTATTCTCACTTGCCTGCGGAGATGCCAATGCATCTAGTGCGGACAGAGCCAGGTACGTTTCTCGACAAAACTACTTCTGTCGGCAGGATAATTGTGTCAAGAGTCATGTTTCCACCCAGTCCGATCTGGCTGGAATAAGTGTTAGTGGATTTTTACGTGTTAATGGGTATCTTTACCGGAATTCATTTGCTCCCCAACCAAGCACCCTGCCTGAATCTGATATTACAAAGCTGGTGCGACCTCCAGCTGCAATTTGAGAGACCTTGATGCCTTGGAGAGAGGGAACCTCAAAGAGGGCATCTGAAAATCTGATGTGCTCGTCATCTATTCCATCTATGTTGGTGGATATGGGAGGCGGCACAGATGTCGGCGCAGAACGCGAGACAGGAGAAGCCGTAGCAAATGGGTCAACCACTGCCCTTGGAACTAGCTCGACGGGAATGCGAGTTGGAGAGACAGTGTCAATAGAACCTGGAGGAGTAGGAATATCAAACTTCCGTAAACCAAGCTGCCCATATGTGTTTGCGTTTTTGTTCATAGGATGAACCATTGTCCGACCAGAAGATGTCAATGCCAAAAGGTGGTTCCTGCCTGCTGAAATAGATACGAACCTAGATTGGTATAAGCTCATAGTCTCGGATGGCAGATTGCTACAGACTTTTCACCCCAACCGAGTTTCTGCCTAGGTGCAATCTCCGCGAAGTCGATGGCATTTCCTTGCGCTCCCCATATCCAGCCGGTCCCCCACCAGGACGTAGTACTAGCAGGAAGTGGCTTAGGAGAGGGCTTTTGTTGTTGTTCTGCATTAGCCGCGATGACATATATTTTTCCCGAAGCAGATAGAGCATATACTCGAGATTCGGTGAGCTGAAGTTGAATGATGTCCTGACCAAATCATAAACTGAGTAACAAGGCCTTCTCGAGGCAAACTGTCTTACATGACCACGTAACGTCAATTGTGGCTCTGATTTTGATGTGGAACTTGAGCCAAAGAATCCGTCACCCCACTGGTATACGTCTCCCCTTGCATCTACACAAGCAGCATGTCGCTCATGAAGTGCCAAGTCACGCAGCGCGACGTCTTTTAGCCAACTAGCGTTTACAGGGTACTGTACCCGTTGGACTGCGGGTTCGTTTGGGTTGATTACGTTGTACCTGAATATGAGCATGCCATCTAGCGAACATATAAATGTACAGCTCACTGGTTGGAACCCCACACGACTGCACATATGCTCCCGTCGTCCTCCGTGACTCCGGTACTGGATGTAGAGGCTTTCTGTGCGGGCTTGGATATATCTTCTGGCTTTGGTGTTTTGATAGCGTCGTTGTGTATAGTATTACTAAACGAATACCAGAGAAGACCCGCGGTAGCAGCTGCAGAAGAAGCTATGACTACAGACCGAGCAGGTCGTGCTCTAGCTGCTTGTGCCGTACATGAAATATGAGCGCGCAGGCGGCCAGGTCGCAACGCTTGAGCAGTCGTACGTTTGAACATTATGCAAGTACCACAAAGTCTAAAGCTTGATCCAAGCGCGTTTAACGCACAGACTCACCCCCGTTTAGGGGGTCACAAACACAGAAATTTCATCGAGTTGCTCTTTGCTACGTACTGGCTTGTTGCATACAGCGTGAATATGGATCCTTCAGCCCCACAGACGGTAGCCAAAGGCGTACTCATAACATGCAAGTCCGTCTTCCATCATAGCCATTCTCAAATTAATAAAGCTGACAATTGTCTTCCTCAGCCACTGTATGTGGTTTGACTGCAGGGTTTTATGGTGTTGTCAAATCGCAACCACCGGGACCTCTGTTATTGTTTTCAGCTTTGAATAGCGGCATTGCGTCTGCAACATTCTTCAGTATGATGCCCATTTCATCAGGTCTCCAACAGAATTGACTGGGCACACAGGCATACGAGAGTACCTGGTTGGTCCTATACTCGTCTTGTCAATGCCAGGAAAACAGTACGAGCTGCGCAGACAGAGACTTAAGGAAGTCGTAGAAGGTGTTACTACTGATGAATCCCGGTTAACGTGGGGTGACATTCGCTCTCGTAAATTACTTGATTCTAGCATCAGTGGAGCCTTGGCTGGTAGTGTCCTTAATACCTGGAAACGTGAGTTGCTTGCTCTCTTGTGCCTCTCAACAATTCTCATTTTATGATAGGTGGAAGATCGGGAACTATTCCTGGACTAGCGACGGGCGCGGTGATGTGTGGGCTCTTCCAATGGGCATTCAATGAGTTCGACATTCTGAGGATAACTCACGTATCCCAAGTGGTGCATACACAACCTGTACCTTCTATACCTGCAGCACCTGTTCCAACATATTCCGTACCCGTCGCCGCCCCAGAACCACCCAAATCACTCACAGATCGAATATTCGCTATGTTTGGTCGTAAAATATCCGACGAGGAGTATCTTGATAGGGTGAAAGCTCAAAGGGACAATCATCTCCGCAGGATCGAGCAACTTGAACGCGAACGTGACGAAAAGCGCGAGACTTGATGTTTCATCATCGCTCTACGGTACTCGTACTGTTATATCGTCCACACACCTCTATTACACCTCACCTCTCACTCGTATTCAAGCCCCATTTCCAACGACGTTTGATGTTAAAATTGTGTATATCGCGCTGGGCTCGCACAACAGCAATTAATGAACAATCGTATATATCTGCTCATATATTGTCCGATCCGATCTAATTTCAACTATTGGGTTACGCAGTTCCTTGACTGCGAACGGTATGGAACCACTTTAAGAAGTGAGGAACATCCTGAAGGTAACATCAGTCTTGATTCACGGTACATGAGATGAGATGATATTCACCGCAGATATCTGGCCTGGCATACTGCCCTCCGTGATGAAACTGGGAATACTTCCTCCAGGCGTACTGGACGTCGCCATTCGCCATTCTACTGTGCCATCGTCTAACTCGAGCAAGCGTTCGACAGAGACATATCGTCCCTTTGTACCTTTCTCTTCAAACTTGACAAGATCTTCGTCACCTGGCCCAGACAGATCAACTGGAATCGAAACCACCAACCTAGATGCTTCGTGTCAGAGGACGATAAAAAGGGTTCAAATAGCCATACCCAGTCCTTGGAGCCGACTCGCTGAAGTGTATTGTTTGCAACACAGTGAAAACACGCGGAGAAACAGGGGGAGGGAAAGTGTAGTACATCGTCCAGATGGATTGAGTCTCTGAGATTCGCTTGACTAGCGTCACTTTCTTGATAGCAGAGATAAACCTTGATAGCATAAACATTTAGGCTATTGTTGGACGACGACGGGAAACTTACTCCTTCTCGTTCTCAGCTTTGTTAACGCCAATTTTGCTCCAAAACTCATCGAACGTCGCATCCTTCTCGGTGTGATTGGAAACTCTACAATGCCAAGGGGCTCCGTCCCCTGGTCCCTTCGCGCGGGAAAGTGTTTGAACGGTGCCTTTTGAAAAGGTCTTGCCTACTTTCCAGGTCTCGCTGGACTCCAACACTTGACGACCAAGAGCAAGGATGGTTTCCTCAGCAGGGAATTCTAGAGTTTTATGTGTGCAGTGACTGACAATCACTAGAGCGACACGTACCTGCAGGTCTAACGGTGTCAATGGAGAGTTGAAACGACATGATGGTCGGAAAGAAACCTCAGATGATGGGGACAAACGCAGCAATAGCAATGCATATGAGATTGTCATCTATATATAAAAGATGCACTAAAAATATCACCATGTGCTATGTGAAAGCAAAAAATGTGCATCGCCGCCCACCACTGATGCACAATGCTGAGTGCAACGGGTGTAGAAATGCGACGACGGTTGTGTAGCCGACATCTTAAGAAACCGCAGGCATATCAAAACCCACTTATGCACCGGTTTGTGATGATGGGCCCCTCTTAGGAAAAGCATTCAAGTCGACGAGGCCAAAGTATCGACTGCGACCTAGCGAAGTTTCATCCCTAGGAAGCTTCTCGCCGCGATGCAGAACTACACCAATAAACTTTCGGTCTCCTCGTAGCCACTTTTGTTTGTAGAATCGTACGAAGCCCGGGGTGGTAGCATAAATAGTATGGTCGCGACCCATTCTGACCTAAGGAACATATGAATATTGCCTTTCGATGGGTAGGAAGGATACGTACATTCTGTCCTGGGTGGAATTGCGTTCCTCGTTGTCGTACTATGATGTTGCCGGGAATGACGTACTGGTCTGCATAGTATATCTCTAGCATTGGCGAGGCGGGTATGCGAGCCAGAGGAACGTACCAGAAAACTTCTTGAGACCCAGACGCTTACCCGGCGATCCTCCATGGTTTCGAACTGTTCCTCCAGCACGTTTGGTGGCAGTCCGCACGGAACCTTTGTGGAACGATGATTTAAAAAAAAGGATGTTGACAATAAAGCATTCACGTACCAAGTAAAGAGAATGGACTTTTTACTGTTTCACAGCACCGAGCAAGAAAAGAAAAGGACATATCGTGACTGAGCCTCGGACGAGAGTGAAGCTTAAGCCCGATGGATGATAATGTTGGTTAAGAGTGAGGATAAATTTAAACTACGCGTCAATCGTAAAATTGACAATTTCTATCTGCAGTGCAAGTACATGAATTGTGATGCAGCTAGATGTATGGCTATTAACTATTAACTAGATCCTAATGCTGGACAACGGACAAGATGGAGAAGATGTCCATGTCTGATATAGTCCCTTAAAAATGGTATCAAGAAAAAATATGCGGTATATCGACTGCAAGAGAATGAAGGGGTAATATAACCTGTGTAAGATGTGAGAGTACACTTGCTAATGGTCCAGGAAAAAGAAAGAAAGAAAATGAAGAATAAGATTAATGCATATGTCAAGGTCCATCATCATGTTCACCGGATGTCGACGTCCTCCTCTTCCACAACCCCGAGGTCGATGAATCGCGTCATACGCCTCCTCGCACGCCCCTCGTCACGTATGCGTTGCGGATCAGGACTATTGCCTCTCGAAGAGGCACAGCTACTGCCCCCAGCTAATGGAGCGTGTTTCTCACACAACATCTGCCCATCTACCTCCCAATACTCTGCCAACCGCTCCCTGCAGCCATTCTCAAACTCACAAAGAAGATGATCTGGATGGTACCGCTTTCCAGCATGAGTGACTGCGCAAGGACCCTCTATTGGCTGGCCACATGAGGCTGCGGCACAGAGGGAGTCGTTTGCCTCATGGTAGTGGTATGCACATAGCGGTTTGCCATCAAACACGTAGAATTCCTTATCTGGGAAGGGTTTCTGCAAGGTGATAGTCAAAAACCAGCCATAGTCGTAAATACCACACGACTCACCTGACAGACGTGACAGTTGAAACAATTCCTGTGATATTTGCCTTTTAGTTGACCGTCGGAAGACGACACAGCCTGCTTCTCAATAGGAAGGTTACACCGGCGGCACTATAGTGAAACTTGTTAGATGGAAACAGCAATCAGCCACATGATACATACCTTGGGAAGGTACATGTTCTTCCAGCATCGCTCACACAAGATATTCCCACCGTCCATCTGAATCCACCTCCCATCGTTGACCTTCGTATCGCAGCTCGCACAGATGCGGTCCTTCTTTGTATTAGACCGTTCCCGTACTCGCCCGACTTGGCCTGCTACACCTACGGGCTCGGAATGAATATGGGGATGGTGCGGGCTTGTATAGGACCGCGCTGGTAGCTTTGGTGGTCTGCTTTCCGGTGACGCAGGGCCTGGTACTGTATTCGACCGAATGGGCTTTCCTGAAGCGCGACCCCCGGAGGGCCCAGTCATTGAGGCAAGCACTGAACCTGAAGCGAGGACCGAGACAGATGCACCTTCCTCAATTAGCGTTTCCATTGCACGCTCCAACGCTCCAGCAGATCGCGTTGTCGTGTGGGTGGCAGATGAGGCGCTGCGCGTACGGCTAGAACTTGCATCAATGATTCGCGAGGTAGATGCAGCATGAGCAGACGAAGCCGAAGCCTTCCGCGATGACGGCTTCTGAACCGTGGAAGACTGATGCCTATCTTCGATACTTGGAAACTGGACCTTATTGATCCCAGATACTACATTTGACTTGCGAATATCGAGTGGCATTACCACAGGTGTGTCGTTGTCAGAATCATCCGCATAGGCCAACCCCACTTCTGAATCAGCAGACGGGGACATGGGTGCTGTACCGCTTCTACGACCCTTCCCTGGTTCGGCCGTATGTGTTGTATACACGCTCTCATCGTCAGAATCATCGCAACCGTGGTTTACAGGTTCTTTATCGAATGCGTCGAGAAATGGTAGGCGAACAGCAACAGCTGCAAATGGTGATTGATTCACAGTTTCCCCGCTGAGACGTCGTGAGAAAGGATTCGAAATTGGCGAGGGCGATCGTGATGGAGTGACAATATGGATATCAGCAGGGGATGACGAAAGAGGAGCGAGTTTCTGATTTGGGGACGATGAGAGGAACTGTGTCCCAGCCTTGTCATGAGGTGTGAGTGGTGTCGCATGGTGAAGCGACAATGGCGACACGGGATGGGGAGAGACGGGTGAATGAGAGTATCCCGAGTTTGGAGAGAGCGGGGGTGTCATTGCGGCTGAAAACGCAGAATCGGTGAGTATATATTGAATAAAAAAAAGTGGGGACAAATGCGATCAAACAGCCACGCAAAATAATTTATTGTTGAAAGATAGGAGTTTATCTCGACGGTCCATTGCCGCAAAACAACGATATGAAGAAGTAGGTTGGTCCATAATTATATATGGGACGAAGGAATATAAACACCGAAGATGTATAATATATGAAAGAAAAGGTATCGAAGGAAGACACTTACCTCGCATGACATGGTTCATAGCAGTGTTGAGGTCCAGATACTTGGGAGCATTTGTTCGACGACTGTCCAGGTGAGATTGAGATGTAGCAACCATCGCAGCTCGTGTCACAGCTGCAAACCCTCTCCGTCCAACACCGGCCATACCAGCCTCACCTCCGCATTTTGTGTCAATATTACGTTCGCTATCTGGCACTGGCGAGCGGGTTGCGGGTGGTGGTTGTGGTGCAGAAGCAGACGATGGAAAAGGCACACCCCGTGAAGGAGGGAGTGTTGAAGGACTGTGGGGCGGACGCGGGATTGACCCAGGCTGCAGTCGCGCATCGGTAGGATGGTAAGGTCGAGATACGTCGAGGGAAGGACGTTGCGCATCAAACGAAGGTCTAGCAGTGGCATCAAAAGAGGGGCGAGGTTTGTCCTGTGATGGCCTAGATGTAAGGGTAGATGTACGTGAGCGATCAAATGACGGACGCGGAGTGAGACTCGGCGGAATGATGGAAGTGTGAGAAGGGGTATTTGATGGCGTTCTTGTCCTGGAGGATGGGGGCGGTGCCTGTGGTATGACGGGTATATTTTCTCTCCGAGCTGGTGATGCAGTTCCTGAGCGGCCCACTATAGGCTCAGATGCACCCGACCGACGTGGGTCACCTTCGAAAGGATTGGGGAAAGACGACACACCAAGGGGTGATCTGGAACTAGGGCTTGTTGTATTCGAAGGAGTACGGGTCCTAGTGGATACGGGAGGAGTTGCTATTCGAATGGGAGTAGTGACGCGTTCTGGAGCGGATTGGGTTGGAAAATGAACATGGGGTTTATCAATGGATGTTGCTCGATTGAGAAGGATAGATTGTGGTATTTGAGGACTAGCCGGGCTGTTGATGCGAGGAGCACCTGAATTATAATGCACAGTTGGGGGTATTCGCTGAAAAGGATCATGTTCGGAAGACCTGAGTGGAGCATGAGGGGGCGGGGTGCGGGAAGTCGCGAGTTGCTGTTGTTGTAACGCTCCGGCCCTATTAGAAACAAGAATATTCTGTAACCTCTGTGGTAGAAGAGAGTTTGTTGATTTTGGGGACATGGGGGGTTTCTGAAGGGACAGTAAGGTAGGAGGAGGCTGTGGTGGACATGAATGGTCACCGAGCTCAGCGAGCGGGACTGGCTGCAAGCAGCTTGAGCATTTTACAGTAGGAAGAAGCTGTGAGATTCTCGGTGGTTGGTTTGAAGAATTGCTGGCAATTTGTGCCATAAGAAAGCACCACTAGTGATGTAAACGACCAGCGATTATTATGACAGGTCTAGTAGTATGCGGCACTGTTAACGATTGACATGAAGGTTTTGGAAGAAAACATACAGTACTGTCGCTTGATATTTGGTGCTCCGACCAAGATAGGTTTCATTCCAACCACCTATTGATAATTTTTTTAGACCCTCCTGGGATCTGCAAGAGGAAAGTGAAAGAGTGGTCTGTCTTGGAGCCGCATCATGAGATCTAGGGCCTGAAACGGAGTTGCTTCTATTCTTCTGTACAAAAATGGTCTGAGGCCTTCAGGGTCGCTGTTGCCTTGAGACCCTTCCTTCCCGGACCCCACTGCACATCAAGTCCATCCCTAGCTAGTGTACACAAAACATAGGTGTTCACTGTTATGGTAAAGTCTGAATGTACAGCTCCGTTAACAGTCAACGTTCGTATAAAAAATTCAAAGTTTCAAACAAATGTGTCGGCATAATAATACAATCAGAATAAAATTAGAGTTCCTCCATACTTCGGAACCATAAAGATGATTGACGTGTCCATGCTAACTATACAGTCTGCTGCAATTGACTAGACCGATGGTGTGTTTACTCCTATTTGTTGTTGTCGCCCAACACTAGTGGATGGATTGAACCGAGAGAAGAAAGAGTCCCATTGACCTAACGCAATTAAAACACCATCACGTATTTCAGAGTGAAACAGAAGGACATACCCCAGTCAAACATACCTCCAGGGATTCCCTCAAGGAGGCCAACATCGGCCATCGCGAATTGCTCAAGCGTATTTGACGCCTGCGGAACGTCAAGCACGTTGAGGACTTGCACGCTACTAGGCGTGTCGTTCTTGACACTGTTCAAAACAGGGTTCATATTAGGGAAGCTAGCCCCATCACCACGTGTAGATGGAAGTGGGGTTATAGTGACCAGCGACGAGCCAGGCCGCTGCGAATTCTCAGTGTCTCCCGCTAGCAATCAACCAGCTTAGTCGCGTCTCTATAGATTCTAGTCGCTGCATTAAGACGAACCTTCTGCTTCATCATCATCAGATGACGTCACGATCGTGCCCCGAGGTACACCCTCATAATCACCACTGCGAGCCTCACCGTGCGCAACGAAGAATCCTCCACCAGGACGCGAAGGATCTTTCTTATACTCCAGACCACTCAAAACCCGTTTACCCTTTACACCGCCCGTAGGATTCAACAGAGGTGCTTGGTCAAGAGGGAGGGGAGGACCCTGAGTGGCCTCATACAGAAGAGTAATAATTTCGGCTGTCTAAAACACGAATCAATCAAATGATGCCGAGAGATAGCATGGGAAAGTCGGGAGCTACCTTTCGTCGGGCAGACATGTGGTCGGGAGAGATGGAACCTTCCCATCTCCGAACGCAATCCCGAAGCTTTCTAAGCTTAGTAGCCGCTTCAGCATCTTGCCGCCTTGCCCATGTATGGTACTACAATACAATTAGCACAAGAATATAAATGCCATCTGAGTACAAACCTGGACAAGTGCGCAGGACGTTGCCGCGTAAGGGACTAGTAACCAAACGTCATACATTCGTTCGTGAGTATCAAGCCAATCAATCGATTCATTGGTCAGTTGAACTAAAGAAGTCCATGTCTCGACGGTTAACCCGAATTTCAGATGTGCGGGGCAAGCATAAGATATGCGCATGAAAACCCGCCAGAAAATCATGCACACCGAGCAGTACAGGAGGTGCAAGAGCCCTGGGACATTGTGATTAGACCTTCATCAAGAAACGTCAAGAGCAAGCGACCACGTACCAGCATCCTGGGGTGTGTCAGTACCACGATATTGTAGGTTCTCTGGGAGGTTTTTCTTCCACGACTCGAGGTCGGACAGTAGGCTGTACAGCATATCATCCGTGGTAAACATCAGGCCAGACGGGCTATAGACAGTTGCGCAAGTGAACTTCACAGTGATAACAAAAAATGTATATTTACAGACCTGTAAATGGTCTTGAGCACCCTTCCCAGTATCACGCTCAACCTGACCAGTTCATCCATGTATAAATCATTGGGATCGCCGGATGAAGGAAGCCTAGCATCACAGTCTTGTACATCAATCATGTATGGGTGGCCATACGTCAAACTTGTCCTTCAAAAATAGTCAGCGATTGATTGACTCATCCCAATATATCCATACCATCTGTCACAAATGACACATGCGCCCCACAAACGTCTTCGCAGCTCAACGCTCTGTTTGACCGACTCTGCTCGGTGAAGCCCCAAGTCTTGAGCCTGGCATGCTCGATTAGATCCAAAAGTAAGTTGACAACAAAAAACCTACCATTCGGATCGCCGTACCCAACCGAATCCAGAGTGCCGAAAGAGCATTCGGAACGAATTGAGAATGGCTGTCACCCACCATACTAAGAATAAGTAAGGCTTGCACGTTCGCGATAGAGGCTGTAGATAAAACATCTTCAGCCTTGATCACGCCATTGACCGCATATCGAATGGAGTCAAATACACTCTGCGGCACCTCCCTCCTTGCAGCAGCAACCAGGCACATAGAATACAAGAGAATGGGAGAAGGAGAAGGATTCGCCAGGAATTCTGTTTGTGATACAACAGGCAAGAGAGGGGCAATCTCATTGAAATAAGCATTAAGGAGATTTTGGAGGACTTCGGGTTCGAGTCGCAAATCGATGGGCTTTGGATGAGAAACTTGTTTCTCATCCCCTGGAACATCTTGGACGGTAATTACGCCGTCGCCGTTTTTTGATACTTCCCAAGTGTGGTGATAACGTTGGTCATAAGACTCGTATATCCGGGAAGAAATTATAGGTTGTGAATGCAAAAGATGTACAGCAGCTGTTGGTCCTGAAAAAAAAATTAGATCAAACAGAAAAAAACGAGGTACATAAGACAAACCAAAAACTCTTAGATCTCCGGATTCAGCTTGAGGAGACGACGTATTTCGTCGAGTGTCCGTGGACTTCTCCTTTTCTTTGTCTTTTTCTGCGGCTTCTTCTTCCAATTTTTTCTTCTTGAAACGCGTTTCTGTTATGGGCAAAAAGAATGTGCACTCAAACCCATATTGTTTGCAGTGCTGACACAGCGGAGGTTCTGAATCTGGAAGAACGTCGCATCTGAGAACGATAAAAGGAAGCAAGTATTTGAGTCAGACAGCACCAAGGAAAAAATCCAACCGCACCTTATTTTGCGACTTCTGCAGCTATCACAAGCTCTTTGTGTTTTTGTACGCTTCTTCGAATCAGACGTAGTCGGCGTAGCAGGGGGAGTGCTTCGTTTTACCGGAACATCACTCCCTGACGGACCTTCTTGATCCGAATCCTTCTCCACGGTGACCTTGCTACGCGAGGGCTCCAACTTTCTTTTCCGCTTACCAATCACCGCAGGGGTAGAAGCTGGTACGGACGATGCTGCGCTAGATGGCTGGGGCTGTTCTGGTACTGTTGGACTGGAACGGGGTGCACCGTACATCATCATTTGTTGAGGATAATACGGGGCATAGCCATGTGGAGCGGGTGGATACGTCGGGTGGATGGGATAATACTGAGCGGAGTGACTGGGCATACCAGGGCCAGTCGCGCCATTAACAGAGCCGGTTGGAGCATAGCCCCCGGAAGGGTGTTGTTGGGTGAAAGGGGATGGGTTCATGGGATGGTAATTGTGATTCATCATGTAATGAAGAGGGGCTGGATAGGAAGGGAGCGGTATGCCTCGAAAACGCGCGGCGTCTTGTTGATGCTGATCAGTAGCAGGCCGAGCGGCTTAACGGAGCAGTGTAAATAATCACGATCAAAAATGTTCAAAGAAAAATCCTGTACCAGTGCTCGTTGTTTGAGGATTCTCGACTGTAGTAGCGTTATTGCTGCCCCGTCGGCCTGATGACGGTCGGCGGGAGTTAGATGAGTTCGGCGCGGGGCGCGAAGATTCCGAAGAGTTTGTTTGTTTCTTCTGCCGTGTCTTTCTTGAGGACGGCTTTGCAGATTGTGGATTCGGCTGCTGCGGCACTGACTGCGATTCGTTCACTGGGTCTTGTACAGTAGCAGGTTCCATTCGTCAGCCGGTTATAACAATTGCTACTGTAACCAGGCTGAATGGCTCCGAAATGGCATACAACCGAAGGTTATACGTACAGTGGATCACAGAGCCGGTGACGAAATGCCTAAACAACTGAACAACTTTGTTAGTAGAACGGATTGTCCGCCTGCAAATTTGTTGGTTTCGTACCTTGAATGCGTTTCTGAACACCCGCGTGAGGGGTTGACGACTTGAGATGCGAGTATGAGGGTGATGGCATGGAGTGCCGTATCATGATGTTAAATCTCCGATACAATTTCAGTCTCCGGCCCGCTGGTCGAGGCCATTCTTGTACACCATGTGCGCGAGTTCCACACGCTACGTTCTGATGCCAGCGCCTTCGCTGACTCAATTATGCGAATGCGTGACACTGCCGAGTTGTACGTACATGTTGACGGCGACCACGTTCTCAAGCTGCTGTCAGAAATTCACATAAATTCACGTTCAACCAATGGAAATTTCGGCTCTCTGCGGTCAAAAATTATCTTTTCGCACCATTGATAATTTGTTCACACTCAGGGTGTATGGAAGCACAAGGTGGAGCAGTGCAAGCCAAAAATTGAATTGCAAGGGATAGATCTAGAAGCACTTCCAATTTTAAATCGCGACGATTTCTTCCGCGGCTCTTCTAGCGTCTGTCTCCTCCCACCTCGGACTCGCATCTTCAAGACCAGGGTTTATCCGCCGTTTGTCTTCAGTAACAGGAGCATGAGCATCGAGCCATGAAAATCCTGCTGGTCGGCACAACACTTCCATGAGGTTGTGTCGCCATGAACCATATGAATATGGATTGGGAGGAACAGGACCTGGCACAAGAGACTTGTGCGCTTGAGCTCTAATCTGTGTCCACACCATCAGTAAAGTGCAGGGACTGTCGATGTCCGCGACCTACTTGTTCAATAGTGGTAATGTTTAGCAATAATAGCTGCGCCAAATGTTCCAGTGAGCAAACCACTATGTATGAGGGGGAAAGTTTGGAGCTCACCCTCATGTGATAGACAAGGAGGGCTGTAACGGGCCATATAACAGTGATAGCTAACGAAAATGCCACAGCACTACCTGCGCCTTCCCTCAACGCACTGCTGAATTCGATATCATCTCGACGAGTCAGGAGATAGAGGTGTAAGGCGGATGTGCAGA